GGGCTGCTCTCCAGAAGCTCTGGTGAGTGGCTCCCAGGCGACATGGGATGGTCAGGCTCCAAAGTAGTTTCAGGTGGCGTCAAAGGACTCTGATTCACTAAAACTTCACCAGGCAAAATGTTTTATGAACGGAAAAGTTAAAAATTCAACAAACAGTTTCCAGGAGCAACCAATATCTAACTTTCCAAAACAAACCTGGAGATTTTGTCATCGTAGGAACTTTGATATCAGAGTTATTGCAAATTGGCCTGTTAGAGGAAACCGATGGCGGCTTTATGGGTCCGGTTCTACTTGGTGTGCTGAACGGTCTCACGGGTGGCCTGGGAATCATCAACGGTCTCATGACATTTTGAGACCGTTTATAATTCTCTGCCTCAGTTCTCAGATAGAGAACTGAGCCCAGCCTCCCTTGCTGGATTCCAATCAGGTCTTTTGCTACCTCCAGCATCTCTCTGGTGGAGTAGAAACCGTAATTATGGATGCGGAGCGGGAAACCATAGAAGCGCAGATAGCAGTCCTCTAGCTCGGACAGTCTAAGTGGACCCTGTGAGAGATGAATTACACACATACCTCTAATGTGGTTTGGTTCACAGCCACAGACATGTAAACAGATGACACTACACCTCACCTTAAATGTACATTCGCCACAATTAAAAACATCATGCAAAGACAAAAAGATTCCAGTAGTAAGCTTATTAAATCTATGAAATTTGATTTTCTGTTAAATTGTTTAAAACTATGAAGATCAAAATGTTTTGTTCCTCAGGCCAGACAGTAGCATTTTAAATTATAGTTTTATAAATGAGGGCTGAAGTTTTTCCTACTTATTAATTTTGCCAATATGCTGTAAGCAACTTTTTTTTGTCTACAAGAAAATTATTTACAAAAATGCTGCCACTGAATTAAATTTGAGTATTTTCGTCAGTATCAGTATCGAGTATAACGTCTTAGCATGGTGACCCATTACTTTTATTCTGAATAAAAGTCAAAGATTGATGTAAATGTGGTGTTACCTTAGAGTCATACCTGGGAGAGCAGGATGCGGAGCTGTGCCCTCAGGTTGGCAGGGAGGGCTGGAGGTGGACGACCTCTTCTTGGGAGCGGTGAAAATGGAGGCCGAGGACAATAGCGAGGAGAGGAAAACTTCTTTGTCTTCTCTGACTTTGATATCCGCTGCTTGGCCACTAACTGCTCGATGTTTTGAGTGTTCTCGTCACTTACAGCTGGGGAGTCACATAAATGCAAAAATGTGTTAATGAGAAAAAACGAAAAACCTCAAACTTTATGTTGAGACTCAAGAATTCAAAACTATGTAGAAGACCTTAAAAAAATGAAAGAAGTCATAGTTGATAAGTGAATGCATAAACTTCAATAAAGACTTAAAATGAAACAGCTTTACAACTACAACATAAAAATATTAAAATGATCAAGTGAAAAACCAAACAGTAAATCAGAGAGGAAACAGATAACACTTCACCTCAGCCTAAATGCACATTCACCACAATGAAAAATGGTGGTGTCACTATCAAGTAGTACCTACCCTTTAAATATAAACTTCCATCTTCCCTGAAGTTCACAGAAACGACCTCTGGCATCTCCTGGACCATATCCATAACATTTCTGAAACCCAGGACTTTTAGGGGCATCGGATGTCCCAACATGGTGACATAGTCTCGTCTGAGCTGGTCAGGGTCCAAACCCAGTTTAGATGAAGTGAGAAGGGATCGAACATCCTTCTTTAGTTTTACTAAAAGTTCCTCTTGGCTCATGCTGTTTGCTTGAGTCTGGATTAGACCAAAGAAAAGTTGAGAATTACAATTCAGCTTGTGCTAAACCACACATAGTCTCATGTGAAAACCACATTAAATATTAAGTTACTCCAAAACATATGTTCAATGTTGTGTTTTTCTTACTAAATCTTATTTTCAGTTTGTAGGGATTTGTTTTTTTCCTGTAATGCACCAATTTGTTAACTCCAAAACATATCCTCCATTTGGTATCTAAATGAACACATTTTATTTTTGTTGGAGAATAAAATCCCATAAACTTGTCCAGTCTATTGCTGATTGTAGAAAACTCGACTTTAATACCAGTAGTAGTAACAGACAATGTGGCGTGTAGCAGTTCAACATGTGTTGATCCTCAGAACATTCGTCTGTGAAAGAAATGACACATTAAATTTAAAATCCTGATTTTAATTTTACATGCACTTGAAACCTGTGACGCAGTCGTATATGTTGAGTTCAACGTTCCCTGGTATTTCAATACGAGAAATCTCAATGAAACACATGTGGCCACACGATCTCCTACGTACATATATATGGGTTTTTTTTTTACATAAAGTAAAAAGTAGATCTCCACTTAATTTAAATGACAAGTTGTAAAGAGTTTTCGGCTAGCTTTGGCTAAGAAACAAAGCCACTGCAATCCAACGATTCGTCCGCCATCTTTCTTTAGCATATTAGCCACAATAATATTCCGTCAACAACGTGGCGGTAAACTTTACGGGAGTTTTTCTATATTGTACTCAATTACGAATTGATGCATTATCTCTGTAAAGTGTTGTAATTTGGGAAAAATCAACCTGGATCTTCCCGTGGTCAGAAAATATCAAAGTTGTAGCCTAGCTTGTTCGCTAGCTTTAGCCTCACAATTCACAAGAGCAAAATAACTCGTTTCTACTCTTTCTAATGCTCAAATTTATAATCTCCCTAGGCGCATTAAGAAACAGTTAAGATTATGTAAAGTCCAAACTATAATGTCAACATTTCTAACAACGCATGTCTAAAAGTATAAACTAATTAACCTGTAAAACACCTGTTATGCGTTAGTTTCAATCAGATTATCATGTCGCACAATCAGCAAAATACCGTAAGAGGGAGGAGGAAAGTTTTCAGTTAGACAACCGCATTTGAATTAGAAAGAAAACCTAACGTAAACTTCCTTTTGTTCCTCTTGAACGCTTTCCTTCCAAGCTTAATTACATAAAACATAAAACCTAGTGGTACAGCACCAACACACAGACATACAGGTGGGTATTAAAACAACTCAAATAGGAAATTAATTAATAATAATAATAAATCTGCTTTATAACTCCACGGGAAATTTGACCTACCTACTCGGATTCATAAAATGATTGGGAGTAAGAAGGGATCAATAAACCAGGTGTCTATCCTGACATTGGCTCTGCACCATTGGGAAGCCGGTGCGACAAGAGGCGTGCAGCGTGGGCGGAGTTTCTACTTCAACCAGGGATGGTAAGAATTTATTCAAGCTCTCACTTCAAAGTCAGACAAGTGAGATAACCTTTTGACAAGACTAACAATTGTGCGATCTACAAATCTGCATCTTATGGCGAATTGATCAAAGAAAAAGTAAGAAGTGAAAATAGGTAGAAACTTAACACTTTGTATAACCAGAAAACCATATTCCCACTGTGAAACATAGCGGCGGGTGCATCATGTTATTGGGACACTTTTCAGCAAGAACCGGGTGAGATAGGTGAAGATAAATGGACATTCTAGAAGAAAACCGATTAGTGGATACAAAAGGGTTGAGACTGGATGGAGATTCACACTAAAGTACAACCAAAGTTACAGTAGAATGAGTGTAACTGAGAATTGTCGGCAAGATCTTTACATATTTTCTTCATTTATTCCAACTGAGCTTTTATTATTGTCCATAAAAGGACATACAAGTAAGTCTAGATGTGACAGACATGTAGAAATACTCTACTGATACTGTTTATTACCGTTCAGCTGTGACACCTGTCAAAATATCCTGTTTAATTAAAGACACACTGGGGAGGATATTGAATGTTCCCCTGTGTCAAAGCAATGATTATTTCTTGAGCGGCCTGAGTCAACACATTCCTAGTTTGGACACTCTGAGACTCCCTGAGTTTCTGCTTAATTAACCCAACATGTTTTCCCTTGCAAAATGCATGGTTGAAACTAAATGAAAACGTACATGCAAATGTCTTGATAGTTACACATTCAAAACTAAGGGCCGTTTAGAGTCATCAGTTTTGGGAAACAGAAGAAAACCCATACAGAAAGGGTTTAATCAAGACGCCAACACAGAAGCTCCCTTCTGTGACGCAACAGCATTAATTAATGCAAAGTCACCATGATGCAAAACGAAAACTAGCAATATCATTGAGGTTCTTTCTTTTGATGGAGACAATCTCCACATGAAAATGCTTTTCTGTTGCCATGAACTGATCTTTTGCTATGTTTGTTGCTATCTTAAAGGGAACCTAATATGCAAAATTCAAATTTTACATGTTTTATACATCCATTCTCAACTGCTTCTAAAAGTGGGCCAAATGCTTAAAAAAAACACTCAGCCATTTTTAGCAATAAATTAATAAATTTTGGTGTCTGGAAAATCCTTCAGAATGTAACGTCACAAATCAACAGCCACTTCTCATTAACTATGATCCCAACGAATCCCATCCTGTTACCTAGTAACCTCAGCAAAGCCCAGCCCTTCAAGGAGCATGAACATGTTTGATCACCTGGTTTCACCCATGTACTCGCTGTACAATGGCTGCTGAAACAAATATGTGTTTTGTTGTTGGCTTACCAACCACAAACCTCTTCCTGCATTCTAGGCTCCAGTTTTGCTTTTCAAAGATGTACGGTTGTATAAATGCACATCTGTTTGCAGCTGTTTTCACGCATGAGTGTGAATGTTGAGTTGGGGGTGTGAACATCAGCAGCTTATTTGGATTTAAAGGCCCTAAAACCTCTCATACTAAAATGAGCTCAAACTAGGCTAAACTGAACAGGGTAAAATCTCATGATCTAATTATGATTTAGTGCAAAAATGTCATAAACATGTTTTGTATAATTCATAATTGTATCCTAACCTGTTCAAGGAAGCATAATAGGTCATCTTTAAACATTTGTTACTCCCAGTGGCCCTCCCCAATGACTGCTGTTTAACTCCCACACTCGGACAGGCCAAACAATCCTTATCCAGTCCCATCACCAGATTGTAGCGCCTCAGACCTGAGCTTCAACTTCCATTTGAACCAGGTCCAAAATTTATTCTCTCTTCATGTCAGGAAAGCAGTACTGACCCATCAAAAGAAAACAGCTCTCCAGCTGTCACTCATACATTGTGTACAGCTGAATTTCCAGCAGATATGGAGAAGCCCCTCACTATGAAGCAGAACCACAAATCCAGAGCAATTCCACGGAAGAAGGAAGGGGCGAGTGGAGTCCCACTGCCTCAAAGAAGTCATCATCAGAAAAAGCCAAAGGTGGGTCACCACGCTGAAGCTCCATCGGTCAAGAAGGAGGAAAGGGAGCTGGAGAAGTCAGAGACAAACCAGGAGAAGGTGAATGTGGATAAAGAGGCAGAGGTTAAGCTGAAATCTACTGTGGTGGACATAGACCGTGTGAGAGAAATCAAGGTCCAGGAAGAGAACTTGTGGCTGCTGGAAGCGGCGGAGCAGGACGGTGAGTTAATGCACAGGAATATAATTGGTTGAGACCAATTATAGCTTTTGTATAGTTGGTTGAGTTCTGGAATCTTAAGTCAAGATTTCATTGAAGCACATGTTTGTCTTTCTGCATGTTGTGGTTGAACAGAGCGTTGTCCATTTCTGCAGGTCTAAAGCGCAAAAGCCTGGGAGTGTTTGAGTGGCTGCTGATGGTGTTTGCCTTGAGTTTGGTTCTCCTCTTCCTTCCTATTTCCATCTGGTTCTGTGTCAAAGTATGAGCTACAACTCCAAGATCAGTTCGCAGTGATCTACTTCAAGTAACTGCAAAACTGTCCATAGAAATAGAAAAAACACATCAGTGAACTTATAGATCTCAAGCTTGTCTTGTACCGATAACTACATATCAACAAATTTTTTAATTTAAAGCTTAGTAGTCATCCAATCTAAGCTGAATCTCAGATTCAAACTCATCTGTGTAGTCTGGAAAAAGCTACACTGTAAAAACACAAAATCTTGAGTATTTGTGGTCTAGTTTCTAGTGCACACAGTGTTGAGTTGAGAGCTGTTGTCTTGATTCACAGGTAGTACGAGAACATGAGAGGGCTGTAATTTTCAGACTTGGTCATCTACTGCGAGCAAAACCAAAGGGACCAGGTAGGCACAAATCATTTTCATTCTTTCTTCTTCATGCTGTAATATAAATTAACATATCTGATTTTTATGGTTCAATGATTATGAAAAACCAAATTCTTCAGGTCAGAAGAGATGAAAAACTACTAGATGTTGCTTTCACTAATGCATATTGTATTTTCACTTATTCCCATTTTAACTTATGGCCACAAACTTCAATGCATTTTTGCTGGGATTTGGAATAAAAAAGCTGCATAACAGTGAAGTATAAAGACAAAGAAAAGTAGTGTTCACACTTTATGTCTCTACCAGCTTAACACAAGAAAATACAGAGCATCTTTGAACATCAATTTTTATGAAGGGTTGCATCTAAAAGTTGCAGGAAAGTAGCTTAATAGGAATGGAGTTGGGCACTCCTATTGTGACTAACAATGTGACATTGTTAGTTGTTTTATTAGTTTTTTTTATCCTTACACATTGATATGTTGCCCAAGAACTTCTGACTTCAGCTGTGTCCCCTATCATATAGTTGCAAACTGCAACTGGATGTCTTCTAGCTTTCTTTTTGCCACTCTAACATACAAGTTGCTCTGGTGGCAGATTATTCAACCTGAGCTAAGGGTTTCTGCAGCTCCTCCATATTACTATAGACATCCTAGTTGCTTTTCTGATAGACACTCTCCTCCCCTGACCAAACAGTCTACCCTTAGACCACTAGGGGGAGATATTGTAAAAGTAAGTAGAGATTAGAACAGCAAATCAAAGTGGAAAACTGACAAACATACATGTGTTGCACTCCTACCTTCATTGGTAAGTTCCGTGTGTTATATTAATAAAAAATATTCTTACTCCCAGCTATGGCATCTATGCAGACACACTGTTTTTCAGCCTCTTAGAAGACTTCTTGTCAAACGGTTTTACAATTTTGTCCTCTTTTTCTGATTTAGCCATAATGACAATACAAAAGGACATCCCCACATCCACCTCCCTTTTCCTATGACTTATGACTTATTACACCTTATCTTATCAAATCAAACCTTCTTGTTGTCAATATATTGCAGAATGGGTTTCCAAATGTTATTTTTTCAATCTATGCATCACCCTTTTTAGATTGTTAAAAATGTCAACTTTTTCTTCTAATTTCATAACTATACACTGCATTTGCTGATGTATCAAATAAAGTCCAAAATGTTTGTATTCAGTTTTGTCTAAATTGAGAAAATATGGAATGAAAAATATGGATTCCTTTTCAAATCGCTGTTATTGTCATTTCTTTGGTTGTATCAGAATCTAACATTGTGTTTGTATTTGGTTTGAAAAATATGTTTACACTCCTTGAGGATTAGTATCTGGTGAGCAATAATAGCAATCAGCAGAAACAGCATAAAGCATGGTTGGTCACACATTAAGGTCACAAATCATGCCACATATTTTCAAGAAATGTTCTATAATACTGATATTTACACTTTGCCTTTTCTCTCCAGGCCTCCTGTTCTATCTTCCACTTCTTGACGTCTGCCACAAAGTTGACATTCGGCTACGGATGTTGAAGGTTCCTTCCCACATGGTAAAACACACTTGGCAGTCAGAAATAATCACACAGAAAGTAGCAATGAAACATTTGACTTTTTTCTACATCATCTTCCTGCAGGTGGTGACGAAGGACCTGGCGAGGCCGGAGCTGAGCGCTGTGTGCTATTACCAGATAGAGAATGTGGCTCTGTGCAGCGCAGCTCTGTCCAACCTGACCTCGGTGCTACAGAGTCTGGTTCAGGCGGCCATCAGAGATGTTTTCGCCCAGCATACTTTCAGTCACATCCTGCAGCACAGGCGGAGGATCGGAGAGCAGATTCAGAAAACGCTGGACTCTGTCACTTGCCGCTGGGGAATCAGGGTGGAAAGAACTGACATGTAAGGCTTGTAGCTTTTGTTAATAAATTTCTGAAATAATTTTCCAGGACTGTGGACTTACTTGAAATGTGCAGAAGAGGATTACCAGGAAAAAATATCCCTCATGGTCTTTCTGTTTGATTCTCATGTCAGAGACGAGCTCAGTTTTCCTGTGGAGCTGCAGCAGAGCCTGGCTGCTGATGCCGAGGCCAAGAGACAACAGCAGCTCACTGTACGGCATTGTGCATTTTAAAATCAGTTTCAGATACATTCTTTCTTCTTAACATTCTTGTTTTGTCATATATTTTAACAAACACAACAAAACTTATGTAGTATGTTTTATTTAAGGTCCAGTTTGAAATAATTTCCTGACTTCTCAGATGGAAGGGGACAAATACATTTCAGGTCTTTCTGCTTGTCAGCAGGTGAAGGCATCAGAAAGGGAGACAGCTGCCTGGGAAAGTTTTAGAGCCTCATTCCGTCATCTCCAGCCTGCGTTGGTCCTTCCTCTCGTTCCAGATCTTCTCCACATGAATTCTGACCTGACCTCCCTCCCACCGCCACCTCCTCTCTCTGAAGACGGAGGGGACATGATGGCGGCATCAGAGAGAGACTCTCCGATGATGTGACATAACCAACATTTCATTAATATTTTAGTAAAAATATTTTTGCTAAATGGATGTAATTTAATCACGCTGGGTCAATGTACTATTTACATTTTAAATAAAAGCTCATTGCAGTGATTTTCAAGGTAACAAAGACATATATATATATATATACATATATATATATATATGTATTACAAATAAATGTTTTTTTGGAATGGTCAGAAACATAAAATAAAAATACTAATAATACCTACAAGTAAAACTTTATTTACTGAGCACATTTCAAAATATATAAAAATGAAAACAAGATTAAGAAATGCAATTTTAAAATATAATTTTATCTATTTTTTGAAGACCTAACAGGGGCATATGGTTGCAGAAGCCCTCTGATATCATCTGTGAAAAGATCTCCAACAAATTCCACTCTAAAACAAACTGGAGGCCAATGTAGTTTCATCAAATCAAAGATGCATGTGAAAACATCTATATTCACCATAAAACAAACACCAGATCATCTGCAGATTATTCTAGGTGCAAAAGTTGCAGTTTTCAGAACTGTTCAAACTAACATTGCATGCATTTATTTATATTCAGCTTATGCGCAATTATATTGTCTTTCCTGACATTAAATATAACAAAATATCTAAATATATTCATTTTAATTTTCAATTTATGAAATAGCAAAGGATGAAGAGGAACTCCATGAACATTTTCATAGACATTTATTAATGCAGCAGGAAGAAGAGAGACATTGAAGGGACAAAGGGTTGACAGGTGCCACAGCAAGCAAATGCACAGCACACACTATCAGAAAGTGATATTATTATTGTACAAGGATATTATTGCATCCTTGTACAATAATAAGGCGATGAAAGAAAACCTCTCCATCTACAGAATGGAGAGGTTTGTACATTGCTTTTCTGTCATCTTCAGTTTTTTTTATTTATGCGTCACACTTTGAGAAGTCGTGGGTTGTTAAATGTAGCTGATTATATTTACTTTTTTGCAAAATACAGCAAAAATAAATAAGATAGCCTCAAACATAAACATAGAGTCACAACATGTTTTCTTTCAGGTGTTGCTTTCTTTTTTGGCTTCAGATGAGGGTTATGTTTCAGAAGTTGGTTCTGCAGCTGGAGGTGAGGAACGAGGTGGTGTTTTCTTTTCCTCTGAAAAAAAAAAAAAAAAAAAAAAAAGCATTGTAAACTTTAAAGCTCATGTCTGTTTTGTCCAGGATGTAGCAACGTTTTACCACTTGCAGCAGCCTGAGCCTGGAGCAATCTCTCCAGGTCCTTAATCTTAATCAGCGCTTCAAACAGAGCCTCCTCCGCTTCCTGAGCTCGCTTCTCAGCAGTTATTGCTATCTTCTCAGAGTCACTGAGAAAAAACATGAGATGCCTCCATTTTTTGGTTGCACAACTTAGTGAAAACCGCTCTGCATGTTAATCATAGGAATGTGCATGCATTTCCTTTCACCACTTCTGATATACTTTTACCAAATATTTTTCACTTTGTAACATTTTCAGCATTTTAACACAAATAACTGATTTGTTATTGTTTAAACAATTAGGCCACAATCTCATACAACAAAAATACAAGGCTGTGCAAAACTTTTTAGTAGTCATATTCCATAAATTAGCATATATTTTCATGTAAGGCTAATTTGTCAACTGGTTGTACAGGATTTTAATCAGGGGTATCACAGTAAAGAAAGTTAAATATATATGTAGGATACACATTTTTGTGTATTTCGTATAGAAAAAAAATTAAAATTGTATAATTTCCACTCCAGTTAACAGCAACTATTATTTTGTATCGCTTAAACACATAATTTTCAACTGAATTCATGTGAAAAAGAAGGTTGAGTGTATTCTTTTTCAAGACCATTTTAACTTTTATTTATTATTTATTAAAATAAAAGCTAAAATAATTAATATTCTCAAAGCTATAAATCAAGCACAGAAAATGGAGTTGTGTGTCCTACCTCAGTTCTTTCTGCAGCAGCACCACTGATGCTAGACTGGAGTAAGCTTTTTGGTCTTTTTCTGTTATTGGACGCGCAATCAGCTCATGGCCCTGATAGAGACATACAAACTGAGTTCAGTCAGACAGATGATTCAGGCAAATCTTTCTGCCAATTGTTGAAAACACAATGTTTTAAATCATCTGACCCCAGACAGCTGGACCATGCTTTCATCCTGATATATTTGAATGATGTTTGTATCGTAGTCTATAATCTTCAGTGACGGCCTCTGCAGGACGACAGCATTATTCATTTTACTATAATAATGAATAGTAGAAATTCACATTTGTAAAACAATTTCTATTGAACAAAAAATATTAATTTTTTTTAAAAATTCCTTACACTTTACACTTTATTCTTTGATTACATAGACAATGTTCAAAACCACAAACACAAAGAATGAAGATAAAACAATTAGTTTATTTTATTAGGCATTTAAATACAATGTAAAATTAGTTAGAAGACTGGTTTTATCTAGTTAGAGTTTGGTTGATTATTAGAGCACCAATTAGCACACAGTTTTATATGGATAATCTCATGAACAAACAGAATTACAATACAAGCAGCAAATCAGTTTTAAAATCTCTTGAGAGATTTATAAATAGAAAGAAAACTGTTTAAAAACATATATTGCATCAAGTTTTTTTTAAATATATATTTCATAGAAAACAACTAACTTATGCAAAAGTAAAACAGAAAATAACCCATGAACCAATCTGACCTTAAAATACTACTAAAAACTTATGATTTATTTGACTGACCTCTTGTTCTCTTTCCGGTTCTTCACTCGTCATCTAAAAATAATCCAAGAAATACTTACTATCAAATTTATTCACAAACATCTTTCATTGACCTGCTAACAAATTAATGTAACGGATGTAATGTTTCTGTGTGTGTGTGTGAGGTCGTTCCTCCACAGAAGATCTTTGCGTTGCTGAAAAACGCTGCACCAGTTTGCAATTTGCTGATTATCAACAGTAGAGCTGTGAGAGAACTGTCTTTGCCGTTTCATCAGCCACTCTAGTTGAAGACATATATTTGGTTTTCACAACAAGATTTAATGCTGTCAAACATCTTCTTATCAAATTGCCATTGGATTCCTGACATCCCACTTTCATCTACTGTCCTATCAGCCATCTTTAATCATTGCCAGAGAACCCAGAGTTCAAGCCTTCCCCTTGTTGTTGTTGTTCTGTCTGTGTAAATACATTTTTACGTATGATTCTGCATGTTGATCAAGGAAATACCTGGCAAAATGGGAGTGTATTAAAGGATGTACAGATTTATTAAGCTAAAATTAATCTTTGCTTGATTTTATTTGAAGTTGTAGTTTTTCAAAGGTATTTCTTTAAGAGGCATTCTTCCCAAGACATTTACACTTCATATCACTAACCTCAGTTTTTTCTGGTTCAGTCTCATCTGTGGTTTCGTCAGGTTCGCTGGGCTCTTGTAAAGGACCTTCACTGGTCTGTATCACACACAGGCACCCAGCTAATACTCATAATCATTTATAGAATGAGGGAAAGCACAAAGCAGTACAATATAAATCCTTAATCTATATTTGTGGATGCTATATGCCATTTCTGTACCAGATTCACAAAGCAGACTGCAAACATATCCATCAACTCAAGCTGATGATGGACTCCACCTGATATTTCTATTTTCTACAAGTATTTTCTGGTTGTAAAAAATAGTCTGTTTTCTACAAATAGATTGTAGAAAAGTGACTAAAAAAACATATCAGGCAAATATCTAAAGGCATGATAAAACCTGCCTTTTCTAATATTTCTGAACTGTTTTAATCCAAGGCCTTTAGCAGAGAATGTTTTTTCTCTCCTCTAGCAAAGTTACCAATAATTTCAGCAAATTCTTCAATTTTTCCACAATCAGCAAGTCAAACAGCCACGACCTTTAGTAATATTTAAATATATTTAAATGTGAAAGGACATTCCCTCTAAATTGCATAAGAGAGTTGAGAGACTAGGAGCACATTTGTCTTTTGTGTCCAGTTTCACAATTAGAAACGGAGAAGCTAAGATTTTTACATGTCCAGCAATGAACATGAAAAACAATTAACTTCAATCGAAATTTGTCATTTAACCTAACAAACAACTCCAAAGCTTAACGCTGTCAAACCTTGTCTAGTTCATATCACTAACCTCAGTTTTTTCTGGTTCAGTCTCATCTGTGGTTTCGTCAGGTTCGCTGGGCTCTTGTAAAGGACCTTCACTGGTCTGTATCACACACAGGCACCCAGCTAATACTCATAATCATTTATAGAATGAGGGAAAGCACAAAGCAGTACAATATAAATCCTTAATCTATATTTGTGGATGCTACAGTTAGGGCCAGAAATATTTGGACAGTAACACAATATTTGTGAGTTGGGCTCTGCATGCCACCGCATTGGATTTGAAATGAAACCTCTACAACAGAATTCAAGTGCAGATTGTAACGTTTAATTTAAAGGGTTGAACAAAAATATGTGATAGAAAATGTAGGAATCGTACACATTTGTTTACAAATACTCCACATTTTAGGAGCTCAAAAGTAATTGGACATATAAACATAACCCAAACAAAAAAGTTTTTTCTCAATATTTTGTTGCGAATACTTTGGAGGCAATCACTGCCTTAAGTCTGGAACCCATGGACATCACCAAACGCTGGGTTTCCTCCTTCTTAATGCTTTGCCAGGCCTTTACAGCCGCAGCCTTCAGGTCTTGCTTGTTAGTGGGTCTTTCCGTCTGAAGTCTGGATTTGAGCAAGTGAATGCATGCTCAATTGGGTTAAGATCTGGTGATTGACTTGGCCATTGCAGAATATTCCACCTTTTTGCTCTCATGAACTCCTGGGTAGCTTTGGCTGTATGCTTGGGGTCATTATCCATATGTACTGTGAAGCGCCGTCCAATCAACTTTGCAGCATTTGGCTGAATCTGGGCTGACAGTATATCCCGGTACACTTCAGAATTCATCCGGCTACTCTTGTCTGCTGTTATGTCATCAATAAACACAAGTGACCCAGTGCCATTGAAAGCCATGCATGCCCATGCCATCATGTTGCCTCCACCATGTTTTACAGAGGATGTGGTGCCTTGGATCATGTGCCGTTCCCTTTCTTCTCCAAACTTTTTTCTTCCCATCATTCTGGTACAGGTTGATCTTTGTCTCATCTGTAGAATACTTTTCCAGAACTGGGCTGGCTTCTTCTTGAGGTGATTTGGGCAAATTTAACTCTGGCCTGTCTATTTTTGGAATTGATGAATGGTTTGCATCTACATGTGAACCCTTTGTATTTGCTTTCATGGAGTCTTCTCTTTACTGTTGACTTAGAGACAGATACACCTACTTCTCTGAGAGTGTTCTGGACCTCAGTTGATGTTGTGAACGGTTCTTCTTCACCAAAGAAAGTATGCGGCGATCATCCACCACTGTTGTCTTCCGTGGACGCCCAGGCTTTTTGAGTTCCCAAGCTCACCAGTCAATTCCTTTTTCCTCAGAATGTACCAGACTGTTGATTTTGCTACTCCAAGCATGTCTGCTATCTCTCTGATGGATTTTTTTCCTTTTTTTCAGCCTCAGGATGTTCTGCTTCACCTCAATTGAGAGCTCCTTTGACCGCATGTTGTCTGGTCACAGCAACAGCTTCCAAATGCAAAACCACACACCTGGAAACAACCCAGACCTTTTAACTACTTACTTGATTACAGGTTAACGAGGGAAAGGCCTTTTGAGTTACTTGCAGCCTTTGGAGTCCATTGTCCAATTACTTTTGGTCCCTTGAAAAGAGGAGGCTATGCATTACAGAGCTATGATTCCTAAACCCTTTCTCCGATTTGGATGTGGAAACTCTCATATTGCAGCTGGGAGTGTGCACTTTCAGCCCATATTATATATAAATTGTATTTCTGAACATATTTTTGTCAACAGCTAAAATAACAAAACCTGTGTCACTGTCCAAATATTTCTGGCCCTAACTGTATATGCCATTTCTGTACCAGATTCACAAAGCAGACTGCAAACATATCCATCAACTCAAGCTGATGATGGACTCCACCTGATATTTCTATTTTCTACAAGTATTTTCTGGTTGTAAAAAATAGTCTGTTTTCTACAAATAGATTGTAGAAAAGTAACTAATGAAACATATCAGGCAAATATCTAAAGACATGATAAAATCTGCCTTTTCTAATATTTCTGAACTGTTTTAATCCAAGGCCTTTAGCAGAGAATGTTTTTTCTCTCCTCTAGCAAAGTTACCAATAATTTCAGCAGATTTTTCAATTTTTCCACAATCAGCAAGTCAAACAGCCACGACCTTTGGTAATATTTAATATATTTAAATGTGAAAGGACATTCCCTCTAAATTGCATAAGAGAGTTGAGAGACGAGGAGCACATTTGTCTTTTGTGTCCAGTTTCACAATTAGAAACGGAGAAGCTAAGATTTTTACATGTCCAGCAATGAACTTTGTCATTTAACCTAACAAACAACTCCAAAGCTTAACGCTGTCAAACATTGTCTAGTTCATATCACTAACCTCAGGTTTTTCTGGTTCAGTCTCATCTGTGGTTTCATCAGCTTCGCTGGGCTCCTGCAAAGGACCTTCACTGATCTGTAACACAGACAAGCTCCCAGCTAATACTCATAATCATTTATGGAATAAGGCAAGGGCTTCACAAAGCAGTGCAATATAAATCTATATCAAAAACTTAACCAGTCTTTTAAATGGACTATAGACGGATATATGTAAAGGCATAATAAAATCAGCATTTTTAAATATTTCTGAACAATTTTGTAATCTAAATCCAGTAGCAGATCATGTTTTTGTTCTCTGTTTTCTCTCCTCTAACAAATTTACCAATAATTTTTAGCAGATTTTTCTTTTTATACAATCTACATAACAAATAAGGTCTTTAGGAATACATATCTATATACAAATAAATATGGAAGGACTTTCCCTCTATATAGTTGCAAAATGCATTATTTACATGTGAGAAGCTATTTCTTGATAGAGAGGTTAGGAATAGATCCATCTTTTGTGTTCAGTTTCAGAATTGGAAACTTGCAGAAGTTAAGATTTGTACATATCTAGCACATACTTAGTGAACATGAAAACCATTTAACTTCATTCATAATTATCATTTAACTACTCTGGGATGCCTTTATGATGGGTTATCACCTGAGTATCCAGGCTTTCTGGTGGCTGAGGGCTGCTTGAAGTTTCTTTGGCTTGCCTGATGAGTTCCGCCTCAAATTTCTCATTAATTCCTCTGAGCAGTATTCTCAAACTTTCCAACCATTTATCACCATCTGTCTGAGGATAGAAATTAAGCTCGGAAAATAAATAGCTGTTTTTGCTGTCATATCAAAACCACATGTACTAAAAATTGTAGACTAACTGCAACTCCTATTTATGTAGTCCACTGTTAATCACACATTTGCTATAGATTTTACAAAATCATTACCTTTTATGTAGGTTTTAATACTGAGAAATCTTCATTTTTGCAATAGAGGTATTTTGACATTTTTACTGAAAAGCCAAAACAAACTCCTACACAACTGTAGGCTGTGCACTGGCTTTCTAAAACATCTTCAGAAAAGTTTAGGGCCACAATCAAAGTTGAAAAGATGCTGCAGTGTCATTTACCTCCAGCTTTTTAAACTGTTTTGTCTTATCTTCCACATCTGCATCATAAGGGTCCACTATAAACGCCTCCTCCAAAATTAATCTGCTTGCTCTAGAATAGAAAAACTGTTCTGTTGTATAAATTCATTAACCTTTAGAGACAACATTTCATGCAACAATAGAAAGTGACCATTTTTGATACCTGGTAATAAATCTGGAATAATAGAGCAATGTCTTTGACAGACTTTTTGCATCCTCAGATAAAGCTTGTAATGAGTTTTCTGTTTTGTCTTCACGGTTCAGATCTTTATCTTCTTCCTCAATCTGGTCAGGTAACATGTGAAGCAACACAGCCAACATCCAGCTTCTTTGACCTTCATGAAGACAAGACACCTGAAAGGAGAGGAGCCAATGAAACAAACATTTACTCTTACAGTCAACTAAGGAAAAAGAGAAAACATTAGTTATTTATCCCTCTCATTCACAGTGGGCCAATGGCTGCTCACTGACAAAATATCAATTGCAGTAATTAATTATTGCACAAAATGAGAGGACAACATTTTGGGATAATATGTCTGATGCAGTTTTATTGTGATCTACTTGTAGTTGATACTTTTAGTGTTTGTTGTGAAATACTTTGTGTTATAAGTGGCCTTTATTCACAGAAGTCACAGAAAATAGGCAGAGACACAATAAGGAAAGAGAGCAGTAAAGGTCAGGAATCAAACTCAGAACAGCTGTGAGGATCAATAGCTCATCAATTTGTGGCACCTCCTCTACCTGTATGTCTAAAATGAAATTGAAAAGTTAGGATTGTGACTTGAAATTCAGAAGCTCTGCCACACATAAAATGTTGTGAAAGTTGCAGGTTCAAACTGTTCAATTGGCCTTCTGATGGACAGGATCTCATTACCTCAATGGTACCCAAAGTTCAGGTGGAGAAAAAAATAAATAAAAAAATTGATTTAATAGAGGAACTCAAATCCTATTCCTGGGAATTCTGCATCAAACAAAAATGCTCAAAAATAAATTTCAAGTCTGCTTAATTTTTTGTAAAATCATATTTTGAATAATTCTTAGCTATTTGTTTCTTTCTTCTTTGACACTGCTAATATTTGTCAGTCTGGTCACCAAAAAGAACAAAATTCCTGACTACAAGCAGGACCACAAATGTGATATTTCCTGAAGGACGTTTAAAACTCACCTCTTCTAGCAGTTTCTTGTTCTCAGTCTCAGTGAAGGTGAACAGGCATTTTATGAGCTCCTGAACCTCATCTATCACCTTTTCTGTCCCTGAGCTTTTTGAACAGACACACACAACAGAAAATTTTAAGCAAACTATAAATAGTACATGAAGATGATCCTGAATACAATCTCATGCAGCCCTAATCCCTGTAATAATTTATTGCTGTGAAACTGCATGGTAAATATGTACTCTTATTTTAGTTTCATAACCTTATAAAACTAGCCTTGCAGTCTGCTGTACAATGAGAAACTATCATTCTTCAACAGACCAAAAATACTAATTACATTATAATTTTTTAGAAAATTAGAACAATAAATGTTGAAATTAAAAGTATTTTGAACAATTACATACATCTTTCTTGCTCTACTAATAAAAAACAGATGAGTCCAATTGTGATAATGAGAATTATAATAATAAAGCAGCTTTGCTTTTTGACCACAGGAAGATGCAATGAACACTTTTAAAAGGCTCTTGAAACATTGAGGCTTATCTAGAAAATATTATTCAAAGAATAAACTGTACATTAATAGATTAAATTGACAAATTTAAAAAGATAAATTGGACATATAAAACACTTACTAAAAGTTAGGGATGATTTTGACCACTCTTTTGCCTTTTTGTTTGTTTGTTTTTGAGTCCGTTTGTGCGAAGGGGAAGTGCAAAATTATCTTTTCAATTGTGTCCTTGCAATAAGACAAAGCTTCTTCCAGTTTAGTCCAATCAGAGGGGGCCATTGCTGAGTCGGGACAAAACAGCTGCAGCGCATTATGAGTTTCAGAAGCCCAGAAGTCCATTCGTTCATACATGGATGTAATGAGTTGGTGGACCTCTGCAGAAGGAATTATTTTCAGCTTTTTAATTCATTTCATATCTTAACAATTACCTTGTTGAAATGAGATTCAATGACAGAGACCAAACGAAAGTGACTAACAGTTGAGCATGTATCAATAACTACAAGTTTAATATCTGCTCTCACCACTGACTTGATTGTCATATTGTTTGAGAAGTTCACTTATGACATTCTCCAGCTCTCTTATTGTCTCAAGGCTCACAGAAGGCGCAACATTAGGGAAAGTGTGCCTTTCAACAATCTGAAAGCTTATTTTTATAAATTTATGCAGGCAATTCTGGAGGTCACTCAGTCTCCTCTGAAATAAATCCTGTCTTTTTCCTTCGGATTCACCAGATGCAAGTGACAACTTCTGCAAAAAAAAAAACAAATAAAAAAGAGACAGTGACGCCTCAGAAAAGCAACAGCTATTTTCTGGACACATTGTTTTTCATATTTTATGATGCTACAACTACAAACAGCAGTGTATTTTCTTGGGATTTTATAGCAACACAAAGTAGCGCAATTTGCAGCAACAACAACATATGTTGCAAAAAACACAAAGCCTCGTCGTAAAGACTACATCCCAGCTGTAAATGACACCAGGACAGCTTCTTGGTGGGGAATGCTTTTCAATCACAGGGAATGTAGACCCACACACAAGACAACCTGGAAAGAAAACTTGTTAGACCAAATAAAAAACCTGAGAATGAGGTGAAGGTTCATCCTTCAGCACAACAATAAGCCTACAGAGCTACAATTGAATTGCTTAAATTAGGTTTTTTTTGAGTTTATGCTCAAGGATATCCAACACCACACTACACCAAAAATATTTGGTAAGATTCTGTATTTTTGTAAAGATAATCTCTCAAAAATACCACAGAAGGTAAAGAAAATAAATATCCTCTCTTACATTTGTCCACCTCCATAAGTCTGCATGGAGTTCTGCCAATGTTGTCACGTCATATTCTGTAATCTCATCCCTAATAACATCACATGAGAATTGCATAAAGAATTCTTATAAGTGTCAACATAAGTGCAAAATAAGATTCAGAAAATTTGTTTTAAAAATAATTTCCTCACAGATTCTGTGTGCTGATACAATGATACCACTCTTTGATGCCTTCCTGCATGGAGGAGATCTGTTCAAACTGAGCATGCTGAATCTTCTTCACAAAGAACATGAGGGCAAGCAGCTCATCTTTCCACTGTTCGGTTGTCTCCACTATGACATCCAGATCATGTGCATCCTACAGCAGGAGGAGTAGCACAGTCAAGCATACACCTGCGGTGGGAAAAAAGAGTGCGTGTGCTTTGACTTTCACCTTTGTGGCAATGTAGATGAGGCAGTCCTGTGCTGTCTCGAACCAGCCTTCCTGACTGACATGCAGCTCACTGACAAGCTTGAGCTTCTTCACTTTAATCACCTGACAGAAAAGAAACTGTTTAACAAAAGCCTGAAACAAACACGGGTTAAACTGGCATGTTTATAAGAAAAATATGCTTAATGCAAATTTAACGTGTAATTAGGGTTGGACAATTAATCAATAACAGCACATATCCTGATTCACACATGATCAATATCAAAAGATAATACATCTGAGAGAATGTTCAATAATTTCACTGCACTTCGATTCAAAACCACACAGCATTCTGGGAGATGTAGGCACAGGAAAGATTTTAGCTGGCCAGCTAAGCAAGGTTGATGGCATCAACTAACTCATTGCAACGAGATGTTGAGTAGCTTGTGGTAACTTGAGCAACAGCAGTTTTATGTTTTACCACCGTTCCTCATAACGACTTAAAAATAAACAACAATGGTGTGGAGTGAAAACTGTGGATAAAGCAGGAAAAGTTGCGCCACCAGTTTGGCAGATTTTCAGATATTTAAAACCAAAAGACTAATTAAAAACTGTTATAATCGTCTAATATGAAACCATCATGTTGTGACACTTTTTTCAGCCATATCGTCCAGTCCTACTTGTAACATATCCCTAAAAATCTAATTTCTTTGCTTATTTTGTTCCACAAAGAGATGAAAAAAGAACAATTCACACAAAAGCAGACAACAGCACAACAAAATGGCTTCTTGTACTTTGAGGGCGAGGTTGAAGGTGTACTGGCTCCAATAGTCTCTGTCTTCAGTCATCTGTAGCAGCTCATCCTCCAGACGAGCCCTGTGCAGCTCGTACAAATGGTGGTAACCCTGGACAACTCTTAGATAGGCATATTTATCATTTCAGAGGTAGCATTTTTGTTAAGCATATTTAAAAACTGTCCCATTTCACATCCATCACAAGAAAAAAGGCAAAAGAAGTTTGCTTTTACTTATGCAATGTTTAAAAAAGCTAAGATATATAGCACTATAGACTGAAGCAAAACCAAGTAAATGTATTAATTCATCAATTTAGAAAGATTAACTCTTATTTGTTCTACTTGATGAATGGTGATGTAGTTTGCCATTAATGACTGTTATAAGTCTGCCAGACTGACTCTGAGTAGCTGAGAGTTTCTTTGTAGCTTTTGGCAAGTTCATCCTGTGCGTTCTGCACCTTATCGGAAACAAAAGCATCATGGTCTCTCACTTTTGCTAGTTCCCTGAGAAAAGAACACATAAACACAAGCATGGAAATGAGAAGACACACATCTCTCACATTCACCTATGTTTAAATGAAAGATATTTTTTTTTAATTAGGGCATTTATTATCTCTTTTTCAACCAGTTGGTTTAAAATCTCCCTGAGACCTCAGTTGAACTGCTTGTTTTCTTTTACTACTCTGACCCTGACCTACATACATGTTTATCTGCTGGATGGATGCCTTGATGTGGTAAATTTCCTCAATGAGCCGACGGTCCAGAGCCCGCTGCGCCACCATCTCAGTATGTAACGACTTCAGGCGCCGGGGGATTCGCTCCAGCAGAGTCTGGTACCGCTGCCTGGAACAAAAAGAAATACATTCTGGATCAGCAAAGGAAAATATATATAAAAAAATAATGTCTAATTTACTTTAAGTACCGGTAAAAAAATAAGTTGCTTTTCCAAAACAATTTTTCAATCTCACACTAAGACAAAAACAAAACAAGCTTTAACCTTTATGGTGAAAATCCATAGTTTTTCAAAGAGTTTATGATACCGCACACTCTATTCCCACAGACTTTTAAAGCGTATGGAACCCACAGCATCATGGATCCTCCACCATGTTCAAGCAGGAATATGAAAGTATTTTCCTTATATTTCCAGTTCCACCTGGAGTATTTATTCATGGAAAAACTCAATATTACAGTCATCTGACCAAATGCATTGTGCCAGATAACGTCAGATGAAAGTTCAGATAATTAATTTCAAGACTTATATGATTAAATATGCTAGCTGCTAACCTGAGTTTGGCGAGGAGCTGTCCTCTCTCAGCACAGCCGACGGTCACCTGCCTGATCAGTTCATGGAAAACGATGTTGTAGATGTTCTGCTCTGTCTTCACCAGTTCCAACAAGCTCTCGAGCTGCAAAACAAGTCATAGACTTTAAGGTCTGAGCATTTTAGTGGTACTGAAAGAAATGATAAACACAGACTCTCTACATTGGAATATTACATTGCAGATTAAGAAGGAGGCCATCTGTGTAATTGGTAAATATTCCTTAATGCTTGACCCATCCTTTAAAATTTGGTGACATTTTCTACCCTCAGGCTCAAACATTTCCTCTCATTGAAGTGTAAAAAAATATTTTTTCAGGTTTTAAATATCATTTTTTAAATATTTTCTAAACTTTCAAAGCATCTGATTTCATAAGTTATCCGTCCCTAAACATAGTTATATTTTTTATTTTGCTTTTCTGTATAATGTCCTCTTTTGTTTTCTCATTGACGAAAAACTTAAATCTGCAGTATTATTCCACCTAAAAAACTGTTTTCTTTTTTATTTTGTTAGGTATTCGTATTATAAAAATATATGTGGGTATTACTTTATTCAAAATAAAGACAAAATTGTTCCCAAGAGAGAAGTGTGGGCATATGCAATGAACTGAATAATAAAATTTTAATATTAGAATACAAAAAAATCTGCCAATATTTCATTCTTTAAGATTGCCAATAACCTGAGAAGCAAATAAAATAAATAAAGGCAAAATTTAAAAATGGGTCCCAAAAGTCCTTTGAGACAAAGTAGCTTATGTTGTTTCACTGACTGAATGATCTTTGTGTATTTTCCAGTTTTAATTATGCAAACTAAAGGTTTTTCTCTGTATTAAACAAAAAATAACAACACAGCATTCATGTCAGTTGCAGAAAACTAACTTGGCACAGGTCGGTCAGCTCTTCGTCCTGCTGATCCACTCCAGCCTTTTCCAGCATGTCATCCATCATTCGCATCAGCTGGATCACTTCCAGCCTCCCACTGGGCCTCCTGCACACAGAACATTCCCACAAATACAGTATGTGTATTATTGCACACACATACAGAGTTCTGTAATGCTTAAAGGTCTGTTTTACTAGTGTGTTTTATTCTATTGCTTATTACATTAGAATGAAGTGTTACAAATTTTTACTGTCACTTTAATTTATGTGTTTGGACTCACAGTGATGGGAGAACTCGTAACTTCTGCTCCTGATCTTTCAGCTGCACTGTGAATGCACTGTGAGGTACAATATGAAATAAATCAGGAAGAAGCTAGATCATTAAATAAGAGGGGACTGCACTAAATAATATTGAGGAAACTTACTCGTCATACAACTGGAGGGATTGTATTCCTTTGTTCCTCACAATACGATACTCTGCAGGGATCACATTTTGTTTGACATCCAATTTCTGAGAGACACAGAATGGTGGAATTATGTGATTGGCTTGTCTTCTTATTCAAATTAATGGCAAAGGTTGCCCCAGGAATAATTCACACTGGTTTAATCCAAAACCAATTGTTTTAAATATGTGATGACAGAGAAAAAAACACGTGAAAACCTTTAAAATGAGGAAGTGAATAAATATAAACAGTTAAACAAAAAAAATCATGAAACATGGACACATCAAGCAAAAGTGGGAGAAAGCAAAATTGCAAAATGTGAAAAATACAGGAAACAAAAATCTGATGAAAACAAAAAAAAATAGTTCAGTGTCAACTAGAAACTGAAACAATGTGCAAATTGGCATGTTGGAAATGTTCTGACTAAATAATGAAAGCATTTCTTTGACAGAAAATGAAAAATCTAGGTAGTGAAACTCAGTTTGAATTTCCAAAAAACAAGGCTGAGGCAGAAAACTTGACCTTCATTAATATTCAAGTGTTTCAACTTAAAAAAACATTTTCTTTGTGTACTCCACCTTCCTTCCACAACTGTTAGCTTAACTATCAACTAAACTAGATGGTTGTTTTTGATGCACAAGGTATAATTTATGGGAATCTCTTTATTTTTTTGTAAGTTTTGTTCATGTGTTCTATTTTTTTTTTTCAAATACTTGCCAAAGGTGAACTTAATGGAATAGTGACCTGCCCAATGTATACTCAATGTATAGCTACTTTAGAAAATGGATGCATTTAAAAACATGGATATCATCTTACAGCAATGATATTTAAAATCTGATATTTAAAGTTTTTTAAATTTTTGCAGCAACAAACTTTTGAGATAAAACAATACGAATTAACTAAAAAAGACAGTGTAACTTCACTATTATAATATTCACTATTAATATTATAATATTAATTATCACTATTATAATTATCACTAATAAAGTGATAATTAATAACTATTATCACTGTTATTAATAAAGTCTTGTGACAATAATCTTTATTCTACAGCAGGACAATTGTGTGAAACATAACACAATTTTAAGTTTTTTAATTTCTCTCTCACACACATTACACAACTGACTGGTCTGAAAACAAAACACAAATTAAACCAAAAAAATCCCCTAATTTCATTGATGTTTAACATGTAAAAGATAATATTATAACTTTTATTTCAATCACATAGATCAATAACTCATAGAGCAATTAGAATTAATAAATACCCCAAAATAAAATAAACAATGTCCTAGCTAAGTTGACCAGCATTTAGCAGATTTAAAAATCCAAAAACAAGAAAAGTTTAGTCTGATTTAACTTCAGAGTGAGAAAAAAATGTCTTAATAGGCGTATAAAAATATGGTAAAAAAAAAAAAAAAAGTTAGGTTTTGAATCAAATGTTAGATTGCACTTCAATCTAAGTGCAATCTAACAAAACTATGCTGTTTGAATACCAAGTGCTTTCAAGGACTTTACATGTAAATAAAGTACTTTCAAAATACCTTATTGTCCAAACTCTGTGGTTAAGCAGCTCACCTGTATGTCTCCGTTGCAGCCCTTCTCATGCAGGGGTGGGAGAGCAGTCATCTTTTTCTGTGTGAGCACAGCATCGCACAGGAATGAAATATCCCTACGGAGGCACCACACACAGAGGAATCACATATTTTTATTTATATAGTGGACTATTTTAACAAATGGTGATTTTTAAAACTCATGTTAACATTTGTTGCGATGGTGGAAAACATACAGTAATGATTAAAGGAAGAGAGTTATTTCTTCTGTTCAGATTATTTAATATCCAAAAAAGAAGCCAAAATTCAAAAGTGTTGCATTGAAAAACTAAATATACCCAGTGATTCCACAGCTTGTAGCAAGATGAGTTAGTAAGTGGTTATTTTCTATTTGACTTATCAGTCGCTCACATCTGTGTGAAGGAATTTTTGTTTATTCTTCGTCATTGTTTCATGACCATCTTTAAGGTCGGGCTCCAGCTGACCTTAAATATTTGACATTACAAGACTTTGGTACTCATCGTGATTGACTGAAAAAAAACCTGTGGCTGGCAAAAACAAGCCCAAATCATCAAACCTCCACCATTATGACCAAACACAGTTGGTCATAATGGTGGATTTGCTGTCAAAATTTACCATACTAACAAAGGCCTGTAGAGTTTTTGAAGTTGTTTTGTGATTTCTCTGGCCACTGCACAGTAGTGTCGGACATTCAACGTATCATTTATCACTTATTACAACACGTTGCTTTTCATGATAAGAATTGTAATTCATTGTTAGAATGAATAACTTATATAAACAATTGTCACAGTTTCATCCTCCTAACTGACCTGCCGGCTTCTGTCAGCGATGTTGGCTGTTCCAGAAAGTATTTGTATTTGGTGCGTCCAAGTGGATAATGCCAAACTCCATCTGGCCGTCTGATTCCATCATTCTGTACAAAAATAATGTGTTACTACTATTTTATCAACCTATGTTCATATGTATTTGTATCAAGTCTTTTTATTTAAAAATTGCTGCAAGAAAATTTTAGCACCCCGACAGATTTCTTTAGATTGGACTTATTTTGTTGAACTTGTGTACTTCAGATAACTCGAAAAAATACATAAAAGGGTTTTCAAATCAAGAGTTCATTTATCAATGGTTATGAAATCCAACTTTTTTTAAAGCTCAAAACTATTTTGGTTATGTTGCAAGTCAATTATATGAAAACACTAATAGGTCCATGTGAATATGTAAAGAATGCATTCAAAATAAAGATTTGGCCTAAGCAGATGTGACTGCACTTGAATTTGATTGAGATGTTGTAGTATGACTTTAATATCATACTTATACTAATAATATCATATGACTATAATAATCTAATATGACTTTAATATTCAGTCGTGTTTCATGCCTGAAATATGACTGAATCAAAATAGCTTGAGTGGGGAGAAATGTATCCACTGTGAGATTAGCCTGGTAGCTTTTTTGTCTTTTGACAAATAAAATTATTGTTTATAAACTGCAATTTGGATTAACTCAGGCCATATTTGTCTTTAATTAAAAAGTATTTAATAATGTGAAATTTTGAAGTGAAAAAAAACTACAACAGAAATCTGGGTGAGGGGAAATATATGTTTTTTACAGAATGTACAAAAATTTTAAAGAGAACTGAAATGAAACCCTAAATGGACAAATAATGAAAGGGCCCAGGAGGGGGCGCTGACATACTTTCCCCCCCCATTTTACATAAAGCACATATACATGTAAGAATTTTGAAGTAATCTTCTCCAGATATTTTGAGCTCAATGTCAGCATCTTAATTCAGACCGACTGTCTTTAGAAATAAACTAAATACAGGTCGCTTGAGAAGATTGAAGACAACAGTACTTCAAATGTGTATAAATCACAACATATTGCGTAAAGAAGAAAGAGCAGTAAGTACTTCACAGGTTCGGTGATGTGCAGTGTGGCCCTGTGTGTTTTTGGAGACAGTGGAGGTGAGGCTGAGCAGCAGTTCCTCTGGGATGCCCATTTGTTTGACGGGCTCCTTCCTCATCTCCTGATCTGGAACTTGGACTCTCAGGTCAATCTCTAAGAAAAATCAAGCAAATACTCAGTATGACTGTATTTTCATTTATTAGAACCATTAAAATTAGCTTTAGTCAATGTCTCTAAATGCTTTCTAAACATCTTCTAAAGTTCTTATTTGGAGTTTATCTGTCTTGTCTCTCATTATCAGTATGATTTTTGACCATTTTGTTTTGGGGAAGCTCCCTTGTCTCAGTCTAATGTGGTCCTAATCACAAGAAAGCATAGAAAAAACATAGACTGGAAGTAGTTTGATCTGTTTAAGCATACACATGTTGCCTGCTATAAAGATGGTTTCAAAATCTTTGGGTTTCCTATTTAAAAATACCAGAATTTGCCAAAATACCAGAATTATTTTAGATTGTCAAATCAGTTAATCATCTAACAATGCACGTCTGCTGGAGGAATGTTTTGACGACACACTTTCACTTGCGCTTCAGCAATAGTATTTTGAGGTAACCACTTTTTCTTGCGCACAAGTTTTACCAGTTGTGCCCACCTTTGTTTAATTGTTTTAAACGTCTTCCAATTGTGCACGACTACATATAATGTTTTGTTTGTAACTTTCTGAGCAGCACTGGCACGCAGAAAGCCTCCAGCGGCGGATGGATGTGAATAATTTACCGTCTGCTTGCTCTCCCCTGGGTGCGCCTGGCACTGGACTGGCTCTGGCCGTGGACAACGACATCTTTACCAAACGAGGCTGTTTCAGTCAGAGGACAGAGCCTTTCAACTTTCACCGAGCCATGAAGGCGAGAAGCTGATGTAAGTCATCTTAAATAACATGCTTTTTTAAATTTACGAACGAAAGCGCCTTTTCCTTCAGTATTCCGTTCTTCCTGGTCGCGTTGTTATGGAAACGGCGTGCCTACCAGCTGCTCCTCTACTCAACATTTTACGGCCGCGCGTTAACTGCGTGCTACGTTCAAGTGCAGTCGTACAGTAGATTTCACATAGTGAAAAAGCCTCAACATTACAAAAGCATCGAATATCACCAGTTTCTTTCCAAAACGTCGGCGAAATATATTTATATTTGACTGTCAAATATATTTGACTGTCTTTGATTCAAACCAATTCAAATGATGCGTTTTAGAAAATGTCAATGCAACTTTTATCAGCACATTTTTTTCCTTCTGATAAAGGAAGAAAGGTGAATATATTCACAATATATTCATTTACTTTTTGTCTACCTCTGGTGAAGCGTTTATATCCGTGTAATTATATACATTACTCAACAATTGACAAGGATTATGAAATGGGCATCTAATTAATAAAATATTAGATTTTAACTTTATTTTATTGCTTGGTGATTTTTCACGAGACGTTTTAATTAGACATTTTTAAACTGGAAGAGTGGGCTCACATTTTTTGGCCTTTTTTTTTTCTTCAGCTTCTGTTTGTAAAAATATACAAGAAAAAAATTTCTATGCGAGGTAGGTTTTGAAGATACCGCGCATGCGCCATACATGACACCGGAAAAATGTTGAGTAAAACTCCAGAGTAATTCATCTTTGACACAACACACGATCTTCGCTGCAACTTATCGGACAGAAAATTAACAACTCTACAAACCTTCAAATAAGTAAGTTGACAGCTCTCTAAACGGCAACCTATGCTTATGTTAAAGTTACATCTGCGAGCAGATAAAGATGGAGACTTGTTTCCTTTCTTCACTCTCTGGTGTTTTTCCTCCGGAGCCGGGCGGGGTGTTCCTGAAAAAGCTCAGTGGTCCAACTGTTTTGGACTTCGAGCTGGTAGCGTTAGCCAAAGTTAGCTGTAGCTCCCAGCTGTCGCCTAGCACACGTATCCAGGTACTTCCTGTCTAGCCCGCTATCACCTGTCTTGACATTCCCGAGTAAGCGGAGAGCCTTGTGGAAGCTGCTGTCAGAAGCGTGAGACAAAACCTATGCATTTATGATGAGTTAGCTTGCTTCTTGCTAATTATTTCTCGCTGTTTGTGGTTTCTGCGTTCACTTAGCTGCTGCAAAAGCAATTTGTCTGTCTCTGATTGTAATGATATGCAAGACAGCATTTTGTCAAAGCTGTCCAGCTTTCTATATGCTTGTCACGGTACAGTTTACAGATAAAACATAGCAAATGAGGCTAACTAGCAGGAGATACCTTGGCACTCTTTGCCCCATCCAGGCCTGTAGACATCAACAACAGCAGTTTATTGTTTACCCTCCAAGGACCCAAACAACAACGTTATCATGTCATGTTTTTGATGCATTTGTTTAAATGACACTTGATGGACCTCTGCCACGAAATACTTTTAGTGTAGAAATGGTTTCCTGAAGGTGTGGTTGATTTCAGTTTCACAGTTGACAAGTTCATAAGGGTCTGGAGACATGTTAGTGCCATCATAGATGGATATAAACACTTCTCTTTTCAGTCTCCCCCACCCCAAGTGAGAAAAAATATTTAAAAATAAACTTTTAAGAATTTAATATTTAAACTGGCAACATTTTTGGAAGAAAAATGACTGGACTGGACTTTGAGACCTCTGGTCCATCACTATTTTTAATGCACAAATATTTATGCACAATTGATCATTTTTAAATTGCCACATTCCTTTTAATATTTTTACTATTTTACATTGCAATTATGCCCTTACTGCACAGTGTGTTGTTCTGTTTTTTATGCATTATATTTTTATCTTTGTGTGAATCTGCATGCCTTGCTTACCTGTCAGTTTGTTGCAGTTTATATGTTTAAGAGCCCAATTAGCTGCAGTAAAACTACAACTATTCTTACCGTGGTCCAACAGAATTATATTTGCATGACAGAAAAAAAGTTGCACATTAACCTTGAACCAAACAAAAATCAGAGATATTTACAGTGAGAGATATTATTGTGCCATATACCATATCCAATGAGCCATGGAATAAAAATATTGTTTACTGTCCCTCAGTGAGGAAATTTGTGTGTACCAGTAACAAAAGCAAGGGAAATCACAGAAAGATAAACTTATAAAATAAAAAACGGTTTGCTTTTAAAAATAACAAACTCAGCCATTTCACTTTCTGTGCAATTGCCTTCTGCAATTTATTTACTTATTTGAAAGGGAGGTGTTGAAGTTCCCAGGAGGCCATCGAAATGATTAAGCAAGAGAAGTTACTGTTATCTAGCTGTCCAAAATGCTGGCTGCATTATTTACAGCTAGACGAGAGACCATGTGCAATGCATCACCATGTGCAATGCATCACCTTTCAGTAGTTTGGCAAAAGCAAAGATTTCCCTTATCTCGCATTCTTCAAGTGAACTGTAAGTGCACTTAGCTACATAATCCATCATACAGCAGGTGGGGAAGTCCAGCAAGGACCAGACAAACAAACCTTGGTGGAAAACATATATTCAATGTTAAATGTTTATTATTATTTCAGTTTACCCCCACCAAAGGCTTAACTTGGACTGTCCAGCTGTTTCTTCTGTTACTGGGAATTCTACATTTGTTCCTTAAACTACAGATCAGCTCTGCTTCATGTGTTGTGCCACTGTCACACACACGGCCTCTTCCTGGCTTCATACCGGCTGTGGCTGGTGGCATGTTAGCCAGCCAGCCAGTCAGCCAGTCCTGAACTGGAGACAGACCAGTAATGACAGGGTGAAAGTTTGCTGCACTTTTGTGACCACAAGGGATGAGGCTGTTTGTTTCGTTTTGGAATAGAATAATTTAATATTAACATGTCTGCAAGGTCTGGTGAGCTGTTTATGTTATATGCATGCAAAGCAAAATATGCATTTTTTTTTATTATGTAATTTTCTTTGTGAAAGTTGATGATATGCACATTTCATTTTGATGAGCGGGGTGTTTTACTATAACTGTGTGACTCAAGTTGTTTGTGTAGCACAATGGGACGTGGTTTATGTGCCCAGTCATCGGATTATTTAAATGAATAGTGTAGTAGGTGGCGCTTGTTTAACACACACACATCGATGAGACCCTTAGCAGACTGAAGGTGAAGGAAATGTTTACCATGTCAGAATAAATACATGGAAGTAAACATCAATAGCACATACACAACATTCAGGACTTTGTATAAGAGAAAGATAATCAAATGATTTAGTCAAATGGATCTCTTATCTGGACTGTTAACAGGAACTTCAAAAAGTTAATGGGCAGATTGTTCTTGTCTTTTTTTTTCTTCTTTTTTTTCCGAGCGTAATTGATGATGTGTGATATGAGCACATGACTTGTTTTGCCTCCTGCATTTTACCCTCTGCAGATGGCTGGAGGATAATTTGCCTAGTCTTAACTGTATGAATGCCTTCTGTGTGCATGTAATCATGGCGCTATCTGTGACTGAATGGCTCCTTCCTGCATTCCTTCTCAACAGTTTGTATTTGTATGCCTGAAACCTAGGGTTTCAGATTATCTTAAAAAGATAGATTCCTGCAAAAGCACCACTGAGTGTAGTTTTAAATTACACTCACGCACTTTTGTGTTGTACTGTAAACCAAATTTTTAATTGTTTTTCTTCAAACTAGAATGTCCTATTTCCAATCTTTTTGCTTTTCTTTGAAGTCAAACCTGCCTCTGATTTTCAACAATTGTTTTTTCTAAGACAAAGATAAAATGGAAATATGTCACAGGTTCTTTGATAGAAGCGGTTTTGAATTCATGAGGAAATAAATGAACCATAAGCTTCTCCCTACTTTTTTTGCATGTCTTCCTAAGTCTTTAACCTCACTCTGATTTTAATAAACTAAGAAAAGTGCATCAAACATGTTATTTCTGGAGGTGTTTATAGATCTAGGATGGGAGGAGTTCAAATGTTTGATGCATTTTATAAATAAATAGGTAAGAAAATTCTGATTTTTCACCAATCAGAGCCAAAGAGTAACTGATTATGATCTGTGGCAGATTATAATCAGATCACACTGACAGGTATTATCAGACAGCATTATTGTAGAAAGTTAAAATGCCTTTACCACAAAGTGTAAGTCACAGTTGTGATTGGTTACAGATATGATTATCTTCATGTTTCTGGTTTAAAATAGTGTGCTTGATGTTGCTTGTACCTATGTTACTACAGTCATTTAGATCCACACTTTGTTTTCTCATTTGATTGTTGTAAATACTAAATGCCCAACCTAACCTGCTGCTTGTATTTTTCTGGCTTGTTGGTTTTTTGCCAGAGCAATACATACATTTAAAAAAAAAATAAAATAGTCAGGCCATTCAAATTGAAATAAGTGATTATTATTTTATTGACTATTGCTGGCATTTCATTTGAACAGCATTTCATAGATGTTGGCAGCACTAATGGAAATGTAAACTTTTAATTTCACATTCCAGCAGCCATTCATTAACTACTGTTCCATCAAGGTGTGTTTGTGGCCCAGCCAGGTGTTTCTTAATGTGTACAGGGCGTAATAAAAACTTAGGCCCTGTCAACACTTATTTTGTAATGTGTGCTAACAGAGATACTACAAATTAATTTCCATTAATTTTTAAAATAAACTAAGATACTTTTTAAATTACCATTTTTAAGAAAGCTGCTATTAATGTTATTTTTTTTACAAGCGCACTTAATTTTGTATGTATTTATGTTTGAATAATGATTTATTGTTTACAAGAGTTCAAATTAAAGTCTTATAAGCACTCTAATTGTAATAAATCTGAAAACTGATTTTCATAAATTAATTTGAAGTGAAACTCATCCAGTACATTGATTACACGCAAAGCAGCATATTTTAAAACTTATTTATTGGGCTTACAGCTAATCCTAATAGTTAATTGAAAAATGAAAATATGACATTTGTAGGAATCCACAATAATACGCAATTCATATAATTCAAGTTTTTTTATTAAATTACTGAAATAAAGACTCTTCATGATTATATTCTAATTTTTGAGATGCATCTATATTAATATCTTATGGAGTTTTTAAAAAAATTATTTTTACCTTAATTTAAAAACCATTATTTTTAATAAAACAGAAACGACAACAAAAATAATTTTCTTAAGTAGCATTTTGATAAACTTTTAAAGTTCTGTACAAAGTTTGATTTACCGGATGAACACTCAGTTATACATAAATAACATGTTTAAAAATATAACCATCATAAAATATTATTAATGGAAACTCAATGATTGTATTAATCACTCAGCTGGGCTTTCAGAGACTTGCTGTGGTTAACTCTTATGAATTATGCAACTGAATATGTTGTTGTGTAGTAAGTGGGTCCTTCCATCCTAACAGGTATCATTAACTCAGACGTTGCATAAAACTTATTTTATTTGTTTAAGTAGTAGCTTTCAATGAAAACATAAAGTTGTTGGTCAAAATGTGTTGAATTCGTTTGCTGAACTGTTTCATTTTGCTTCATAATGAACTTTTAATGTTTGGACACTATTGTAAATGCAATTACATGATTATTTGGGAGGCAACAATACCATGAGTTCACATTTTGCATGCCAATAGAATATTCAATCTGAAGGAGCCTCAATGCTCTTTGTATTCACATGTGAGTGCCGCATTTCTAATCTAGTTCCTTTTGTTTTTCATGCAGGCTGCCATCCAACACAGCTGGGCTGACAGGAGGGAAGGGGAGAACATTAACCTTGGTCTCCCTTAGATCCTGATCCTGAGTGAAACTGCTAGCCATGGATGACAGCTCCTCACTGGGCAAAGTCAGCAGCTCAACAGAGTCCGTGGCCACCGTCACCAGTGAAGAGTTTGTCCTAGTGCAGACCAGCTCGGCCAGTTCACCGCAGGGCTCTGAAGGCAGACCAAGACTCAAGGTCAGAAATGAGCACCATGTGATCACTAAATTAATTTAAATGAATTGCCCCCATAATCTACAAAGTTAGGCACATCTGAGATATTTTGAGTAAATTTGAAGTTGCAAAACATAAAACAAAACTCTTTGAATATTTCACTAGATTAAGCAATCTTCTGCACCAAATATACAGTGCCTAAGATGAGCCGAATACATTTGTGCACAGATTTTTTGTGATTCCGTGTTGTCATAAGCTAAGAATATCCTGGTCCTGTAATATTTTGTCTTACCCACCCCCAGATGTCCTGGAATGGAAGTGATCAGCTGGAAAAGGCTATGGAGGAGGTGTTGGATGATGATGATGAGGTGAAGGTAGAAAAGAGCTGTGTGGAACAGATGGAGAAGCAAAAGAAACTAGAGAGCCAAGTGTCAGAGACCCAACCTGCAGGTAAACACTCTGGAACCAATAGCTTTCAATAACATGTAGGCCTGTCACAAAAACACATTTTTCTGGGCAATAATTTGTCCCAGTAATTACTGCAATGAACAATAAGAATGTTTTGAGACTTTTTTTCAAGTAGTGACATAATATGCTCATAACTTTCCTCTCTCAAAGATTAATAAACTTGAATTTTGTGAAGAACATTTGACACTGGAACCGTAAGATATTGTAACTATCCAAGATAAAAACCAAACAATAAATGAAACAGAATTATAAACCACACACAACTGAAACTACATAAAATTGATTTTGACATGTCTGTAAACAAGACTTCATCAGAATGGAAATTATCAAACTTATTTTAATTTGTCATGCATTTATTTAATTGTTTACTGCAATGAGCTTATTAGCATGCTCTTGATCTCTCAGCTGGTACTTTTTAATTAATCCAATTTATAAACTTTAATTAATCCAATTTATAAACTTTATGGCTTGAAGACTATGAAAGCCTGTGGTTTTCATTACTTACTGCATATGCATTTAAGTAATGTCTATCAGCAGGTTGTTTTAGTTATTTTGGTTTTGGTTTATGAGTAATTTATGCTGTGTATTATTATTAGATAAATTAAGATATATTTAAATTCATTGGCTAAGTACAAGGATACAGAATGGCTTGTTTATGGATATAAAAACAGAAAAGATTTGGGTGAAACGGCAACACTTCGGTACAAAACGGGGCCTTGACTTACTAGAGCTGTTCCTCTCCCATGGTTTTCTTTGCTATTGGATCAACACAGTCAGCACTTGAACTCTGGCTGCTTTGTATGTAAACATAGTTGACTGAGATCACTCAATAAACAACCCTTGAACAGCGAAACAGAGCTTTGCTGTACAAGCACACACCCATGAACTACTTTTCAGTATTACCTGTACAGACTTAAATAATGAACAAAGTTATTCTGTTTATGTTTGTTTAATTTTGGCAGTTCTGCCAACAACCATGTATGAAACAACATTGTGGCTTGTAAAGTAATAGGGATCTGTTCCATGGGGTGACCTAAACAAATAATCCAGACCTATTTTGGTCACTTGTGCTCAAACGCAACCTGTGCACAAATAAAGTTCAACAAGGTTCTGAATCATTTACTGGTAAGACAACCTGAGCTACAGCTGATTGTCAGGGTAAGTCCATGTTGTTGTCCAACAGGAAAATCATGATTTCCAGCACTGGCTTTCTGCTCTTCTATTATATCACTTGACTTCATAAAACAGCATCTTTACAACAATACAAAACCACAGAAATTTAACTGAAACTGTATAGTGGTAATAAAATCTTGTGCACACACAAGACTTTAGTTCTTCAGCCTGTTCTGAATTATTTTCATTGAGATGGGCTGGTTATCAGTGGCGATTTACTTTAGCAGGATGGAGCCAGTGTTGTTTTTAATAGGGACACAGAACAAAAGCATGGAACAAAAAACAGAGCAATAGTTCATTGTTGAATATATTAATATCTGCAGACTTTGAATCTGCAGATAAAAAGTCTGATTCTATCTCAATATGATTCAAGCTAAAAGTTCAACATTTTTACATGGTTGTTGAAGTAAAACTGTGAAGGTAAATAATGAAATTGGTCTAAGGGATTAATTTAGTATTATCCCTTCATTACCTTTGGGCATAGCAGGTGGAAAGTCCGGTTCTACAGGGACACTGGCTCCTGTTGCTCCCCGTCTAGAGCCGCCCATGACGGTTATAAATATAAGAATAGAAGAGTATATTAAGGTTTAAAAAATGAGATGAAGTTATAACTGCTAAAATGCTTTGCTAAGCTATTTCTATTTAGGACCTTTGTAACAAAATGCCAGAGGACATACAGGAATGACTGGATTAATGCAATGATGTTCTCCTTCCATCTGTTGCTGTGAACTGCCAGTCGGGTGACTAAAAGAAGGCGTCTGCATTTATCTGAATGCTTACAGAAAAGACAAAACCGGCCACTTGGAAATGGTTCCAGTCGTAAAAAAGCACAAACAGTCCTGTTGAGGAAACTAAAACAATTCCATGAGTTGTTTCCAACTCCAGACCAGCTTTTTACCCCACAACCCATCTATATTTATGTAAGGATGTACAAATAACCTTTATTCTTTTTTTATTCTCTTTATTAAAAAGAGAAGATTAGCTGTTTTCTGTTGTGAGTTAGAGCTCCTTATTATTAATTCACAACATTTAAATTAATTGAAAGCACATCTGAGTGTATAATTTAGTTAGAAATAAATGAAATAACACAAAAATCATATGAGAGAATTGTGGACCTCCACAGGTCTTGTTCATCCTGGGATTTGGTTTATAAATGCCTGGAAATGCTGCGCTAATTTGTTAAAACTTTATATACAAGCTTAGACTTGTACATAAAACAGGGGAATGTGTCGCAGTACATGATTAAGAAAGGGGTTTCTGTGATGTGGGTTTTTGGTGCTTAATGTGTGGACAATCCCAGGGAAAAACAACTTTTCTGAAAATGCCGACTGATGCTAGTAAGAGGGTGTCATTTGCCACAGGGTAATTTAATTCTGTACCAATATAGGCCTAAAAGCCATTGCACCAAAGGTAATATGAAAATGTAGATAGTTTTACAAATTATCTGTCTCATATTATACTGTCACAACATTGTGATATTTTTGACAGATATCTAAAAATAATAATTAAACCAAAGATACATACTGCAGCTTTATTGAAAAAGGGGCAAGTTTGCAACCCTCAGAAGACCATCCCAGCTGTCAAGTATGAAGATGGCAGCATCATTCTGTATGGATGATTTGCTGCAGGATGGAGTATTACACAAACATAAATAGATGGTTTTTATGAGTAAAAACTCATAAAAAAACAATATTTGGAAATATTGCAGCAACATCTTAAGACATCAGCCAGGAAGTTAAAGCTCTTGCACAAATTTGCCTTCCAAGTGGCACAGTATCAACAACGCAATCAGATGGAGCGTTCATCACAAAGCCTTGATTTCAGACACAGACCATTTGGTATGTTGAGGAACTTAGTCCACAAACTTGACTCAGTTACACCAGTTTGGTCAAGAAGAATGGACCAGAATTCAAACAATCATGAGAAACTTGTGGAAGGACAGCAAGAACATTTGAAAAATTATTCAACCAAATATTGTGAAATGTCTTTAAACTTCTGAATTCAAAAAGTTGAATAAACAAATCCTCTTCATAGGAACTAGATGATCTTCTGCAAAGCAGCCTGTTGCTGTACTATATTGTGCTGTATTTATTTTTTTGAATGTTTTTGAATGTTGTTATATTGCATTCTACAGTAGATGTGAGCACAGAGCGTTTCAAGATTAACTCCTAGCCTCAGGGAGGAATAAAAAGCTAGCACTGTTTTAAAAATACAATTACAATTTCAAGCTGTTTAAAATAAAAGCATTTAGATCAATAGATACATTTTTGCTGTAAATCTTCAGTATTCAGCATTGAAATATGTGTTGTTACTCTGTTTTTATACTGTGAGAATCTTAGGGTGACCCTTGAGTAATTTTGATGCTGTGTGAGTCAGGGACTCTTCTGGGTCCCTGACTGACTTTTTTGGATAATTTTAGTCCCTCGCCCCATTTTAACTGCTTTTAATGATCCTTCATCATGGTTACAATAAAATAAAAAGCAGATGTGATTCTTCACATCAGAGGAGAGGAAGTCCAGCATAAAGAATTGTTTTTATTTTTGGATGAGTTCAGGTGAAATGAAACGGGGGAGTGATGAAATGTGTCACACAGGAAATAAGCACATACTTTGACAAATGGTTAGCAATGTTCAAAAGAAGGACGTGTTTTGCTCCAAAAAAGGCACAAAGACAAGGTATGTTGGGACATTTTTAAATGCAAATACAGCTATTCAGCTTTAATTTTCAGTTCAAGTTGGTGTTGACATCTTTACTAGCAAAACTAATCAGTTATTTTTAAAACCTTATAGACAACATCAAATGTAACACTAGTGTCATTTAATGCTACTGTGAGGTTCCACTTTGAAGATGAATGCACTTTTGCTTTCACTTGAGGTGGTTGATGTTCATGAGTGGTGAATGCCCCGGGCAGCTGACTCCTTTTTTTCTCTTTTAACTCATCTGATAGTTGTCACGTTTAATACTTTTCTCTATTACCTTTGCATTGGAATGGGGGGGGATTCATTTAGCTGTACAGGTGAATATGACTGCACAGCAGCTTTGTAAGGTTGATGTCTGGTTAGCATTATTAAAGCTCTTGTTTGACATCTTTTCATGATTTGGGGACAACATTTAATCATCTCTTGCCAAAAACCTGAACGACTGAATGCAGTCAAGGCTAAACTGGATAAGATGGATCGTTAGAACTACAGTTTGAGATTTATGAAACCTTTATAATGTTCCTAGAAAAAAAAAATATATATATATTTATATAATTTTCAAGCATTAGGTCTGTTACAAAATCTCTCTGTATAAGATCTTATAATGTTACAAACCAAAAAAAAAAGAAAAAAGCATAAAGGCCTATTTTGACATAAATTAGATCTTTAAAATATAATCCTGTTGTTTTTGTGAATTTAGGGCTCGATGATATGGCTGAAAAACATATTGTGATATAAAAGTTTCTTAAAAAGCTTATACAAGTAATTATTGATTCATTTTTTGTTTTAAATATTTGGAAAACTGCCAAACACGTGACGTTACACAAAGTTTACTTTTGCGCTTATTTTCTCCCTCCACTCCCTGCTGGTGGTTTTATTTTTAAGCAGTGGTTGCACCATGGTAAAACATCAAACCCCTGCTGTGCAAGTTACTCAAACAGGTTGTTGCTAGATAACCAAAGAGTGGGTGAGTTAGTTGATGTAATCAAAGTTGGTTTGCTAAAGCCTTTCATTTGCCGACATCCCCCAGAATGCTGTGTGGTTCTGGATCGGAGTCCAATGAAATTACTGAATATTTTTTCACATGTATTCCCTATTGATATCAATCATGTGTTTACAGAGATATTTATTGTTATTGGTGTATTGTCTATGTGATATTAATGAGTTTTAGGTATCGCTACTCCCGTCATTAAGACCGTGTTAAATTTCAGAGGAAGTATTGGTCACCGTTTAAACAAAAACTGGCAGTGTCGTCAGTATGATTTTGCAGTTGTGCTAGACAGCTGCAGGCAGACTGAGGGGGAAACTGTTAGCATGCTATGAAAGCGAGCATGTGTGAGGTGGAAGTTCAGCTGCTGGGTTCATTGTTCTGCTTCCTGTTTGTTGGTGTGAAAGTTTCAGATCGGAAGTTATTTCAGCGAATACCCTCAAACTTCCTCTATCATTCTAACACATCTTTCCTCCATCTTCTTCATGGTGCTGTGAATGCAGCTTTGCTCTTTCTGTCGCTATTTGTTTAGGTACAAGAGTGTTTCCTGTTCACATGACATGGAAAGAAAGAAAAATTCACCTTTAGTTCTCAACAAGTGGCCAAAATTGTTGAGAAAAAAACCTGTCTGTCTGTATACAGAAGCATGTCCGGCACCATCCAGTCCCAGTGTCATAGAGGAGGACAGCGTCCAGTTCAACAAGCTATCCTATCTGGGTTGCACGTGGGTCAAAGCTCCTCGCAACGAGGCAGAGGCGCAGAGAGCCATGGCGACCCTGCGAGCGGAGAGCGCCATCCCGATTCCCATCACGCTGCATGTTCCCTGTGGTCCAGATGGTTCTGTCAGGTCAGATAAAGGAGTCTGATTATAAGAAATACTGAGACACTAAAAAAATTGCATGTGCAGAATCAGTATGTGCTTTGCAAAGATATTCACATCCCTTAAACTTTTTTCATTATTTTACTCTTGTCGTGAGTTGCGCTGTGTCTTATTGTGAAAGACAAGGGATGAAAGTGAGAAATTGGTTTCAACATTTTTTGCTCATAAGTCTTAAAAGTGTGATGTTCATGTGTGTTTACTTCAATTTTTGTTCTCCAATATGCCTTAGTAAAATACAAATATCACCTAATTAGAGTTTGATAGTAAGTAGTTACATTTACTAACTAACTTAATTCATTTGGCACAACTTTAAACCTACCAAAACACGTCTGGTCAACTAAACCTCCAGACCATGTGTGGAGGTGTCTGTATGAAATGAGAAATGCAATGGAGAAACTGTAGAGATTCTCAGCTTAGGACAAATGTTAGTTATGCCATCTACACTTTTTTTCTTTAAACAAAAGTTTTCAAGAATTTGACTTGTTAAAGGAAGCCAAATGAAATGCCTTCTGTGGTCCCATAAAGGCAACACTGTATAGTTGATAGAGAATTCCCTGGTCAAATGAAACTAGAGTTGAACTTTTTGTGCCAAAAATAAAATGCTACATGGGGTGGAAAATAACCCAGAGCTATTAGTAAAAGTGCGGATGGAAATATCAGGTTGTGGGGATGTTTTCCTCCTGCAGAGACAGGAAAGCTGGTCAGAGTGGATGTGAAGATGAATGACACCAAATATAGGAGGAAAACCAGGGAGAGGGTCTGAAAGGCTGAAGTCCTCCATCCTGAACAGGCAGCCAGAGTTACAATATTATGGTTGAAATTCATTTGTATGATGTTTGGGTAAAGTAAAGCACAAACCCAAATTATTTGTGTTTTTTGACAAAACCTAAATTGATGTTCACAGATACTCCAATCTGACTGAGCTTGAGCTATTTTGAAAAGAACTGGCAAAATAATCCAAAAATAACATTGACAGAAGTTGTTGTAATGTGAAAAACTGTGAAAAAGTTCAGAAGGGTATGAATACGTTTTGCAAGAACTTGTGTCAACCTTTTTTTTTTTTTTTTTTTTTTAGAAAAACTACTTTTTACAAAGCATAGTATATGAATTTGTATTTGGCTTTGATTCAAAGTTGGAACACAAAATATTTCACTTGAAAAATTGACTCAACTTTGACAGGAATCTGGAGCTGAAGGCTTAAGTGTAACTGTCTTATGGACATATGGATACATATACACATGGACTAAATGCCATTTTTAAAACACAAATCATAAGATAATGATAAGGACTTCTGAGCCTAACTATCAAATCTGACTTGGCTTCTTTACTTAAATCAGTTTTCACAAGTTTTCAGACCTCTGTCTTTTGACAATGACCTTGGAGGGAATTTTCCAAGAATGATAAAAAAAATTCTACAGATCATGAAGTAAAATCATATGACAGAAACTCTTTTAGCCACGTTCATTCATTTAGTGAAAAGGGAACACTGAATTTAAAACATACTGTAGAGGAAATGAGACAGTTGGCTAAAATAAGAATAAAACAGCTGTATATGCACTGATTATTGATAGCTGAAGGCCTTACAAACTAATTCAACTATAAATCAAAAACAGAAATAACCAGCTTCATGTACAGTAACAGAAATATTGTGTGTAATTTTTGTCCTTTCCATCTTCTCAGAATCGTAGACCAGGCCTCAGGAACAGAGATCGCCTCCTTCCCCATCTACAAGGTGTTGTTCTGCGCCCGTGGGCGCGAGGGCTCTGTAGAAAGCGACTGTTTCTCCTTCACTGAGAGTTACCGAAGTTCAGAGGATTTCCAGATTCACGTTTTCTCTTGCCACATCAAAGAGGCTGTGAGTTAAACTTGTTTAGACCATAAATACTAAACAAAATCTCAGCAAGTTTCTCAGGCTCCATTAGATCAATTCTTTAAATCCAAAATACTTTTTTAAAATGATTATTTTTCCTTCCAGCATCAGAAGCTCTTAATCCTGTCAATAATTTTGTTGCCATTACAGAAATGCAATGGAATCACAACAGAAATACAAATCTCTACAAAATAGTTTATTTGCATTTAGTTAAATAAAGCCGTCTGCTTTAGTCTGTGTTTTTATCTAATTATACAGCAAAATCTTACTACTCCATTTTAGTTCTCTGAAACCAATAAAAATGTTGAACTTTTTTTGTAACTACAAAATATGGACGACTCTTGTAATACTACTGATTATCTTGGCATCCACTCGAAGTTGAAAACAATTGGAGTTCACAACAATGTTAAAAAAGTGTTTCTGGACTCTGTTTTCTTTCTTAACTTAATTTGAAAAACTTATAAACATGCAAACAAATTATCCTGCAGCTCAAAGTCCAGCTAGTCTCAAAAAGGAAGAAGGGTGAAGACCAGCAGTTACTCATAGATGAATAGTAGAAATTTCCAAAGTGTTTCAAAAATATTTAGTCGTACCATCTATTGTTGGCCAGTTGGGGGCACTATTGTCTTTTATTTTTTTCCCCCCAATTTGTTTCTTTGATTTCCATGTTTATTTTTCATTCCGTTTACTTGCAAGGTATTTATTTTGTAATTTTTTTAAATATTTTCTCCCTTTCTTGTTTTTTCTGTCCTCTTTTGTTCTTTCCATTCAGGTCAGCCGCATCCTTTACAGTTTCTCCACAGCCTTCCGGCGCTCTTCACAACGAGCAGACATCAGGGACACAGCGCTTTCTGGTCCGCCTGACGGTGATCTCTACACCTTCACTGTCTCACTAGAGATCAGAGAAGATGATGGCAAAGGCAACTACAAGTAATTGGTCCACACACACAAATGCAAATCAAATGCACAAACGCAATTTCCTGTTTTGTCTTTTTAGTAACATGAAAATTTTGACTCTGCTAGCCTAATGATTGAAGACATAGTCAGCCAATTTTTTCATGTCAGTTGTCAAAGGTAGATGACTTTTGACATCTTAAGTAAAATGTAAATAAAATGGTAACAGTTACAAAGCAGCAGAGAATGAACAGAGTTAAAAAAAAAACAAAGCTATATTGAAGAACCCTTGGTAACTTTCACAATTAATATCATGTATTTGTGTATGCAGCAGTATAAAGAGACACAAATGATTTGTCATTGTCTGACTTTAGGCAGCTAGGATTACCAGAATTGTAAATGTATATTAAAAAAATTATTTCATTGTTTTGGCAAATAGAAAAAAAATTGTAATTCAAACTAAATCAGGAAAGATTTTGTTTGATTTGATGGCAGACACTTTGAGGAGAAGAAATGTCATATTGTATGTAAATAGCTGGTATTCATAACTCATATTTTTTTTCTCCCAGCCCAGTGCCAAAGGACAGGGATAAGTTTTACTTCAAGCTGCGACAGGGTGTCCAGAAGAAGGTGCTGGTTTCTGTTCAACAAATGTGCAACAAGGAGCTGGGCATCGAAAGGTTAGCATTAAAATGGTTTTCAGTGTAAAATAAACTCAGAAGTATAACATATTGAGCCAGGTACAGAACATGAAACTATCACAATGTAGTGTTGCAGTTGAACCCATAATACAGGCACAATTAGAGACTTTACATAAAATAACAAACTTACAATACAGCAATAATCAAGCCAATGAAGAGGCGAGATAGTAACTTTCTTAGCAAATGGGAAAGTTAGATACTGAGGAGCCTGATTATTTGCTAACGAACAGGTGGTTGATTGGAAACAGGGCGCAGCTATGAGGAAAGACCTGGCAGGCTAGCAGAAGGAAGAAAACTAATGAACATTGAAAGGAGCTGAGGAGGAAACCAAGTCAATATACCGATCTAAGAAACTGAATACAAAGGAAGGAGCTGTTCTAATGAGGTAAAGGTTGGATATAAACAAACAACAAGAAGTAAATCATGGACTGAACAACCAAATTGCCGTAACCGCCTCAGCAGACAAGAGCCGCCCTGATCCTCGTGAATCTGAGGTCTGAAAGTCAGTCAGTCTTCCTTACCAAGGAACATACATTCCAACTGATCCGAGTTACACACAAAGCTCAATTTATTATTCAAATTAGTTTAAAAGGTTTTCTAAGGACTTAATTGGGACCACCACCCGACCCTATCACTCAGCAGGTTCTTCCTCTGTCCTCTATGCAACATTAAAGATGCAAATCAGCTGGCCAACAACACTCAAACCCTCCAGCATACCAGGAAAAATCTCTTCCACATCCGTCGCCCTGAAATTGGGTGTTTTTAAAAACTGGATATTTAAATCATTGTCCTGAAAGGCTGACATTCGGTAATTCTACTTTTCTACATACCATTATAGAACCTTTCCTGACTTATACTTTAACTCATTTACTCCTTCTGTACAACGGAGGATTAACCCAGTTAATGGTGCACAAAACATTTATGGATTTAATTTTTATATGTTGGTATTTTGGAGAAATCCTTTATAATCAATATGAAGGATTTCAACATGTCTCCCTGTTCAAAAATAAAATAAAGAACCATAGAACATTCTGGGCTTACAAGCTCTTTAGTGCTTGCTTCTCATGAACTCAGTGAACAGTAGTGCAGACTATGTTTTAAAGTCACATTCAAATTTCTGCGGCCCACTGTTTAAATGTTTATATGCTTGAGTAACTGCAAAAACTAAGAAATTCCCCCTTTTTTATCTTCACACCTATGGGGCTTTCAGAGACAAAAAGTTGCCCTTTTTACATTGATTTTGACCCTTAGTTAATATATATGTATAATCATCTGTTCCTTAGGAATACAGTTTAGTTTTTCATAATACTTTGTCGCAGTCAAATGGTGTTAGACTTGTTCTCAGATTTCATCAGCATGTCTGACCATCTCTCTGACAGCAGTTTAGTTTCCCTGGCTGGAAACAACAAACGGATATTAACACAGTTCCACGGAGTAAAGACTTCAACAGTGACTTCAGAGAAGCAATTACTGTTGTTATTGGAGACCATTTAGGACGGTTGCTGCCTTTCTTCCCAGGAATAGAAACTCTCGGGGAAATTCACCCCACAATCAGACCATGCAAAAGCCTATGCATGTCTGTTAGAGTGTTAAACACAGCGTATCCACAGAATCGCGTCTCACCAGTGGCTGTTTTCATTGGGTCGACCAAGACATCAAAATATTCCACAACCAAACGTAAAGCCATCTGTCTGAAACTGGGTCATGCAAGCAGGGGTTTTATGTTGGGATAAAATTCCTCTAAGACAGCTAAAGATGCTTTAGCTAACTACAGAGATATGAGATGTGTACCTACATTTTCACACATACCTTTTTAATTTTGACTTTGCCTGTTTTGATTCTATGTAGATTGATGTAATTTGATGATTTGTGTCTCTAGTTCTAAGCTTGAGGCCACATTAGACATTTCAGATTATTCATGTCCAGATATTTAAAACTCTGCTATTGTAATTGCAATTGCTTTGACTATACAAATGTTGCTTCAGTGATTAACTAGACTGTAAATGGATCCTTATGCAGTTTGGGTCAGAAACTGGGAAAAATCTCTGCAGCATAAAAATGAAAGGACTTTACATTATGAAGAAATTATTTGAAGGAAATTGGGAAAAATCTCCCTACTCTGTTCATAATATAAGTGGCGAAAGGACCTAATGAAATCTCTCTTTTAAGTGAGATTTTGTAGCTCATTAAAGATAAATGAAACATGGAAAAGAAAATACACACAGTAGTGAGAACTTGATTAGCATTTGGACCTTTCATCATTACTACCCATGTTATTTAAACACCCATGAAATACAAGTTCAGAAAGCGTGTTTATTATTCCACAAAGTCCTGCAATTCTTTTAAGGAAATTGCTTAGTATATAACAATTGCTATTAAATAAATCCCACTGGTTGTTATTAAATGTTTCATTTTGTTATTTGCATTTGTATTGAAACATCTATTATCTTAGAGATGAAGCATTCAAGAAATTAGCTATCATCCAACTCTTAAGCTTTTATCAGAGCAAGATTAAAGACTATAACAGAGACCTCTTAGTCTATTTTTTATCAATTCTTGTTATGAAGATATATTCAAATTAATTTTCTAGTTTAAAGTATCCAATGGTAATTAGGCATAAATACAATCAGATGGTAAAGTACAAGCTAAGACGTTTGTCTGAAATGTCTTCAGAATAGATACGATGCTGTATAGATTGCATGGATTCTCATCTTCTTTTTTCGTCCATTTTCTTTTCTCTCTCAGCTAACTTGATTGATGAAGGCAGGCTGTAGCTCTGCCTTGGAATTAGTGGGTATTGATTTGTAAGTTGTGCCTCCTTTGTCTTCTGTTAAGGTGTTTTGGGATGCTGCTGAGTCCCGGGCAGAAAGTCTGCAATAGTGACATGCATCTTCTTGACATGGTATGTGCGACTTCATTTGACTCATTTTATTACTGGCCTTGAAGGAATGAATTATAACAGAAATCAATGCATGTGGCTGTTACTGTGAAACACCTCGTGGAAATCTGTTGATTTATCAAATAAACCATCTATTTTACTGCTTTTGAGACGGAATTAGTTTATAGAAACACGAAAACTGAGCAGCCTTTAATGGAACAAATCTGGTGTTATTGCATGATTAATAAGATGGTAGGTAAAAACATAAGTATTGCTGGGGATAAAATCTATTTTATTACACAACTCCTTTTGTAGGAATCAATGGGAAAGAGCTCAGATGGAAAAGCCTACGTCATCACAGGAACGTGGAATCCCAACATGGCCGCCTTCCAGCCTCTGAATGAAGACACACCTAAAGGTTTGTGAACCAGAAAAAAAAGATTTCTGGTTGGTTTAACAGTTTAACAGCCCATCCAGCCTTTTACCAACAGATTATTAGAGCCATGCTGTTATCCAGTAAGGGGTGTGGTGTCCATACAGTTTCTTAACTCAGTATTTGTATTTTAGGTGGAGCCAGCAAGATTAAACCCATTTTGGGTAACCTTTATTGATTAAAAGCAAAGTTTAGAAAACCTTCCACTAGATTCATACTGAAACCCTGAAACCTCTATTTATTGTAATTCTTAGTAGCAGTGTGAACTATTGTTACTTTAGTTTTTTATTTTCCCTATGTCTATTGTTGTTATTTTCACTGTAACTGTTATGGATGTAGTTAATGAATATTAGTATTTCTTAATGAGGTTAATGTTTATCTGAGGGAATTGTATTTATCTTTGCTTTTTCCTTCATCAGTACTCTCCAGATAACGCGCCAGTGTTGGAATTAAACAACATGTACACTTATTGTAGGTCAAATGTCTGAAAGGAAGGATTGTATTAATAAAATATTAATAAGATGTAAAATGTGAACTGGGACAGGAATGGATCTGTGTATATGTTTGTGAAAGACAGTTATTGGAAAATAAATGAAAAGTTAAAAAAAAAAAAAATTGACACTTAAAACTTTATTTGGGAGTTTAAATGTGAAACATTTTCTATCTAGGAGGTACTGATGCTTTAACAGGTTTTTATTCTCTGTTATAGTGTAAACCTAATGCTTTTATTTCAGCTTTATCCAAATAAACAAGTAAACAGATTTTAGTGACTGAATTTAGTGAGAAAACAAACACAGACATTAACTTTATGTTTGTTTGTTTCCGTCTCCAGATAAGCAGGTCTACATGACGGTGGCGGTGGACCTGGTGGTGACCGAAGTGGTGGAACCAGTTCGCTTCCTGTTGGAGACTCTCGTCAGGGTCTATCCGTCAAACGAACGCTTTTGGTACTTCAGCCGAAAGACCTTCAGCGAAACGTTCTACCTCAAACTGCGGCAGGTTGGTTTGCTGCAACTATTGATATCTGCTCCCCTTACATGTTGAGCCTTTATATATTCTTTTATTCTGATTAAATATGTTGGCTGATGAACCTACGCGACATGTGGGTGTGTATGATTCACTGACTGTGAAATGCTTTGTGCCCGGGCATCAGTCAGTGGAAAAAAGAAGCTCAATAATGAAGTGTTGAGGCATAAAGACACTTTGTTCTTCATTTGGTTTCCTTTTTTTTTACTTTCTTGTTTTATACATTTGAACAAAAACAAAATATACTTATATGTTTGCTTTTCATCAATGTCTTTTTTATTATTTTTTAGTACTGGCACATTGTCGTCGAAGCTGTGTTAATATCTACAGGAGAATAAATCGCTCAAATAAGCTGGATTTCCTTGTGATGCTTGGATTTTGAAATCTTTCTATAAAATTTGAGAATCAGTGTTTGGAAAACTAGGGGTCCTATTTTCCTAAACAATGATTTTGTTGCATTAAGTAAAACTGTGTTCCTGGTCATTTTGGTCAGCAATGATTTTTTAACCTTTTCTAAAATATAGAGCAGTAATGTTTGTGTTGCAGCAGAGCCAATGCATTTAGGCATCATTAAATATTTAAAAAGCCAACCTGAGCAGGTCAGTTCAGCTGATTGAGTCTCAGTGGTAGCTTCTGGCAACAAATCTGTCAGCCGTCAGCTATCAGTGATTTATTGTTTTGCAGTTTTACTCGGGTCATGTTAACTTTATTGACTTATTTCAGAATTGGTGTCAGGGGGATGAAACGGCCCAGATTGTGTTATTTCTGAACTCAATCTATTCTCCCTAGACAGGCAGAGTTTCATTTTGGAGGGTAAGTATTGTGATGTAGAGGTTCACAAAGCAGATTGGAAATATGTGCAGTGCTTCCATTGCTTTTTAAATACTTAGTAAATGATTAATCTTAATGTATATTGAACATTTCTATCTAACATTTCTATCTCCACAAAAGGTATTCACAAAAGTAAAGTGCTAAAGCTGGAAAAGAAAAACGGAATAAAAAACAAAATAGAGATTCACCAGTCATGCAGTCTGACCAGTTTTCTGCTGGTGGTTCAACAAACTGTTAAGCCATAAGCTTCCTCTTCTCTGTTTTAGAAAGCAAATCTTTTAGTTGGCCATAGGGAGACCTGGTGAATCAGTGAGGTGTGGGGAAGCTTTGGATTGTGAAAGCTAATAAGAGGCTTTGTCTCATTATTTGCTTTTGGGTAATTAACAGCAGCGCTTTGACTCGTTCGCCTGATTGCTTCTCTTGTTATCTCTTCAGTAAATGGAAGGGTGCTGGGCTAGTTCTGTGGTTCCAAGCTAATTAAAAGATAATATTGTGTAGAAGTTTTCACTGCAGATGACAATCAGAGGTGGTGCAAACACAATAAATATGCAATCTTCTTGCCTTATTTTGGGAAGGAAAACATTAATATGAAGTACCATTGACCCGTCTGTTAACCTGTAGGACTTGTTTGCTCAACTACTTACTATTCTTTTAAGCAAGCCTGTCAGTGCTGAATGTTCTTCCTTTAATAAACCAAAACAACTGAAATATCTCCAGTAATAATATAGATTCTGAAATAAAAGGAGAAAAACTAAATTTTTCTAAAAGGAGCTGGGTCGCCCAGAAAACCAGAAAGGTCTATTTAATATCAAGACATTTTATTAATAGTGGGGGTCAGAATCTTTTAATTTATTGCATATTTTATATTTTTATTTTTTATTTTTATTCATATATTTGTTGCATGTGAGATTTTTGGAATGTTTAATTACTAAGCTACAAAAGGGACAAACATATACTTTGAAAATATAATTCTGTATTTATAATTCTTTATAATTTCTTGAGACTCATTATCTCATTTACAAGAAAGACCTGTTACATACATAACAATAAAATAACGTAACATATGCTTACTTACCCTCCCAATATTCATGATAAGATTATCGTGATCACTTCTTCTGACTTATTTCTAATAGACAGGCTTGTTTTAGATATAAAACGTATACTTTTAAATATATTGCTTTAATTTTTTAAATAAATATTTACTAGGTATAGAAAGAATTAACATATTTAAGTTTTAATAAATAAATGTTTATTGTCAGTACAATTTAGCAAAACTGTAAAATCAACTGAATTTGTGGACAATCATAAAACTTTTATAAATGCATCAATCTGCACAAAAAAGCACCAAAATGTGTCTTTTGTAGATGTAATATTGTTTTAGCAATTAATCAGTAGAAAACCTTTTGTGCACATAAATTGCTATTACGCAACTTCTCTTGATGCATTGATTATTGTTGCATAACTCAAAATCCATGTCACATACATCCCAGGAGCCTTTTTTTTTTGTCCACATTTCCTTGTTTTTAAATCAGTGTGAATCATTTATGTAGTTCACTAATCTCTTTGAGAGGCCGCTGAATACCAAAGCAAATTATTTCTTCAAGTGTCTGTAAATTATTTTTCCAGAAATAGTCCAGGCTGGATATCCTCGGCTATTTTGAGTTGTCGGCTCTGGCTTGAGTTAGTCATTAGAAGCCATGCGAGTGGGCGGATCAATGCAGCTCTCTAGGTGCATTGATCTAGTGCCCATCTCTTCCACCTTTTTCTCTAGGTGGAAGAGATGGGCACTAGCACCAAAGTAATTGAATAGACTAGAAATAAACATCAGCTGCCTGTGACACAGAAGGTCAGATCTGATGGTATCTTTGCTCACTTACACTTTCATTATTGCCTTTAGGTACATTTAAGACCTAGTTTTAGTTTTTCAGAGACGAATTTTGTGTTGAGTTAGATTCTTCATTAACTGTAGTTGTTAACTTAGCAATTAAACAATGTTATAATTTTAAATTTTGTTTAATTTTAAATTTTCTTAATCAAGCTGTGATGATTGAATCAAGTTCTTTATGTCCTCTACCTGCTCATGTTGCCAAAATAATCTTGATCTTGCTGCTTTACAGTCGGTTTTGACATGCATCTGTTATTGTTTTTTAAAACAAAAGCACAAAAAAAAACAAAATAAATGTGTAGTGGCCAGATATAACCTTCATATTCATGAAAAATATGTATCTCCTTCAGAAAGAGATACAATAGTGTGAGAGTATTCATAGTAAGATGCTGTGTGTCCTGTGTGTTTCTTAGCTTCTCAGTCAAATATGTGTAGCAGACTTTCAATAAGAAGGAATCCTTTTGTTTTATGCAGCTTAATCTCACAGAAAATTCTGCAGTTTTCTAACAGTAACATTTTTGTTTTTTGTTTTTTTACCTTCCTTATCATCATTACCTGGTGTCAAGATAAGCGTGCGTCCTTGTCCACCTTTGCTTGTCACAGTTCCAGTTGTTTTAAGCTTTCAGCTGTTAATTATTGCTTTGACGTTAGGTATGGACAAGTAGAAGAAATGTTCTTGTTGCCATTTGTTGGGTCTTGTTGAACAGCAGAAATCTGGCTAACTTCTGTGGCATTTTCTCTTATATTTTTCATTTCAAAAAGTGAAAGACAAAGAGAAATGGTTAATAGTCACCTTGTTTTTATACTGCAAGCAAACAGGAAGTTATAGATGTCATTAGACTCTCTGACCACTTAAAATATTATAATATGAATTGAAAAAGTGCTTCAGTTTTATAGGAATCAACAGGTGTTTTATTTTATTTTTTTACCAAGTGACTAAATGACATAGAAATTCTACATTCTACTTGTGAAATTATTTGTACTCAGTGGTGTGGTGGACAGCCTCACTTCTGTCAGTCTGGTCCAGGGTATAAAGGAACTGATCGCCATCAGCGTGTGAAAATGTGCACGAATGAGTGAATATGGTATAAAGCGCTTTGGAGTTCCTTTGACTTGATAAAGCGCTATACAGGTTCAGCATTTAAACATTTGTGATTATGTGTTTGTTTGTTGACACAGCAGGCCCCTGACAGGGTGAGTCAGAGTGACTCTGTGTATGAAGTGGTGAGCCTTCAGAGGGAAGCAGAAAGAAACGTTGAAGAAAGGGAGCAGGTCACCTCCCATAATGAGGAAGAAGATGTCGATGAAGGTATGCTCCCTTTTTTTGTTTTGTTTTTGTTCAGTTTTATTTTATTTTTCATTGTTCTGGGTTCTTGGATTGAAACAAAATAAACCAGACAGAGCTTCACAATAACTTGTCCTTCATAGTGAGATTGAAAATTGCACAAACATAACAGCATTCGCTCTACAAATTTGTTGTCCTTTCAGTACTGAGGAGAAACATGTTTACTTTCCTAAGCACAATAAAAGGAGAGTGATTCACCAATAAGTTGTAGAATCGACGTTTACCTTCTCTTATTATTTTGCTTTCAGTGTGTATCATAAAGCCTTTTTAAATTGAACTTCATATTGCAAGTGTTCGTTTTCTATAAAGAGGGACAAGCACCTTCAAACTGTCCTTCTGCAGAAAAGCTTTGATAAAAACCTGTGTGTACACTTCAGTGACAGAGATTCATCAACATTAAAGCTTAATTCGGTTGGGCAAGCAAACACTGGCTAGGCAGCGTACATATTCATGCATGAGTTCAACATTGTTGATGTCGACCGTGGATTTGTTGATTTTGTCCACAGTATTTAGCTGCGGGTCCAGTCAGGGGGGTATTTGTGTGATTATCCGCACTTGTGAATGTGTCCGTGTCTCAACCAGAACCCGGCCCAATCCTGTTAACGCCTGCAACACTGCAGCGTCAACAACATTAAAGAGCCTTTATGTGCTGCTGTTTGGATGAAGTAAACAGCCTCCTTTAGTCAAGGACACCATTTGTTCGTATTTCTCTTCAGGTTCAATAACACTATTGAACCAAAAACTAGGATTTGGGCCGCTGAAAGAAAAATAAATCTGACTTTTTCCTCAGAATTCTTAAAAAAAAAAGACACGCAATTAAGAAATAAGATCAAGTGATATTTTAATTTTACTAACTTACTTTCCTCTGACTGGAAGTAAAATTAATATTTTGGAGTTGCACATCTGTATGTAACTTTATCATTTCAGCAATTATATCCCTTCTACAATGTACTGTCACTTAGGAAATAGACTTTTCATTTCCTGTCAGAAACAGACTTTTTGGTAGAAAGGAACAGATTTTGTATCTAAATCTGCCCTGGTGAGAACAATGCTATTTGTTGTACTTTAAACACATGTAAAAAAAAAAAAAACAATTTAAACAATACAGACATAATCTACCTTCTTGAATCATTTGGAGCGTATTACTTTATACATAACCAAACTAGATTGATATATTTGCATTATTTTGGTGTAATTTTCTTTAATCGTTTAAGGTTCGTGTCTACTTTCCCATCCTTTTGATGTTGTTACGCTGTCAATTTTCGCACAAATAAAGAATTATTCTAGAGTTGTCTAGTCTGATCAAGAATATAAAAAAACCTAAAGTGGAACTCTAGATGTATTTTTTACAACACATCTGACATTAGCTTTTCTCTACCTGAACAGAGTTATCCATCAATTTTTTTTCTCTCGAGAAAGTTGGTGAATGTATAAATTTGACCTATTTAGCAGACTGGTTATTTCACCGCCAGTAACAGCCGCCTTTGCCGAAGGAATGAAGCCAAAACAGCAGTAATATTAACAGCCCCAGAAAGACTCCAGAGGTTCCCAAACATGACCCAGTTTCAGGCACTTCACCACAGGCTAAATGCTGCAGGTGTCTCGAGGTCATCATTCAGACTGCACACTGTATGATAACACTGATTTTTAATGGATCTGTTTATTTTGCAGCTGTGTTTGTGTGCATAAATGTGAGCATATTCTTATATATCCACAGAGGACATATCCATCCAGTTTAACTTTTAATAATTTGTTGTTTTACAGCTACAACCTTTTATTTTTTAACTGATTAGACCAGCCTGAGTTAGCAAATACTTCAAATTAGATGGAAATTTGAAAAAGATTTACATACAAAACTCTAAAGAGTGTGAATATGAATTACTCTGCATGTATTTAAGAATTTCAAAATGAAAGAGGATAGAACACATCGCATAAGAAAAGTTAAGTTTGGTGTTTTCCTAAATTTTGTTATTAAGTTTGTCCTCAAGCCTCAGAAATTGAGGCTTTATTCTCCTGTTTGTATAAACAGTCTTCAGCTATTTTCTCCTTGAAGTGGTATAAAGTATTTACCCAATAAGAGAGAGAAATAGTCTGTTTTGTTCCTGTCTGTCGAGTCACTCAGTCACGAGGCATCCGCCAAGGCTGCGTCTGACTCCTTTCAGCCGGCTCTGTGGACAGCATCCACAAACCTTTTTCAGTGACGCCCCTCTCCTCTGCCACTGCTGAAAATCGGAGGCTATCAGGGGGCTGTGAAGCTGGTGGTCACTTTTATTGTAATACTAATGAATACAAATACTGTCAAAGTAGATGCCACAGCAGCAAACACATTTAAATGTAATTCTGGTTAGGGGTTTTTCAGCTGAAAAGTAGAATGGGAAATTGGTTTGACATTGACATTATTTTTTTCTACGTTCTTGGACAAACATGGTTATGTCTCCAGCCTGACTCCTTTTCTGCTACATTTTACTCTGCAAGTGTTATCTTTATGATACACGGAAGAAATAGCTTCTTGTTGTAACAAACCCAGTCCATTTGTGACTTCATCCTCATACAGATTCTGTTTTAATCCCACACTGAATGTGCCTGCCCCCCATCACACATATAGGTAATAGTAATGGTCCTTGTCTGCCCGGTTCCTTTCATCACCTGGTAAGTTGGCAGCAGCTTTGGACTCGTGCTTTCTTGCCACGTGGCTCCAACAAATCTGAGGATGGAGGCAGGAGCTTTATGTTGGGTTTCTGAAACATTTGAAAGGCTTCATCAAGCATTTATAAAGACCTGAAAAGCTCCTGCTGAGGCTGTGAGGATGTTGGAGCCGCAGCGCATTCAGCATAACCACTTGCCTTTACTCATTTTGAAATGTCAAGGCCTGAGTAAGAGCCTTAAGCAGGAATGAGCTGTGCCTTTAAACTCTCAGAAAGGTTGCAGTTGCGTTTTATTGTTCAGTTATCTCTGAGGACCTGTGTTTTGTCACTTTAAATTTCTTTTTACTACATTTTTGTTTCTTTTATGCTTGTGTGACTTCTGTTTCTTTCTGATATTGCGACACTGTTAAAAAGGAACTTTAAACATTTCGAAAAGGACTATGTTACTTGTATTCCTCACTTTGCAAAGAAGGCAAACAGGAAATATGCATTTTAACTAGTGCTTGGAATTATAAATGTTATGGTTGATAAGAATATTTTGTGGTGTAATGATAAAAGTGACAATGAAAAAATATCACATCTGACTTTGTCACTGCATATAGTTGAACACAAATACTTCTTTCAAAAATAAAACTTTTCAAATCAGTTATTGAAGTAGTTTTATTATGTTGTATTTAACTAACACATAATGGCTCTTTTTAATCACATTTCAGCATGTATTAATGGCCTTATCAGACAATCAATATAAATGATAATTAAGAAATCAGTCGACATCAAATATTGAGTTTTCAAACATTATCAATAAGTGCTAATTTTTATCATTTGTTTTTCCTGATAAATAATACAATAACATCTCTTGTGATACTTGACTTTTATAGAAGAGTATAAGTACAATTAAGTTCGGCGAAATAGTTTAAAATCAGTGTCACTTTGATTTACTGCAGTACACAACATATCTGGCAATATTTAAAATCTGTTCGTTATCACTATGACAATGTTCAACTGTGATTTTTATTAGATGTTTTTCGACAGCTGGATCAGTGAATCCAGAATGTTAAGTTGTTTTTCCAACACAGTGCAGAAGTTGACGGCATCTTTGACAAGTTCGGTTCCAAAACAAAGAATAAAATTTCGTTCACACTGCGGATCTTGGTGCTCAATTCCCATTTCTCCGTCACTCTTGATGGTAAACAATCAGCGCATTCTGTAATTTTATTCTGTGTGACAGGAGTTTAACTGATGCATTGGAGAAAATGAGTTTTCAGTAAATCACATGCAGAAGGGCAATGGTTGCTATAGAAATCTATACTATTGATGGTCCCAATATTTCTATTTTATACATTGATTGCATGGCACCAGCCACGATACATCGAATATATTAGTTATATTGCCCAGCGCTGCATTGTTTATATGCAGGTTCATAAATCAATGAACTCGTACATTTACTCATCTGAGTTCAGGTCTGAGGAAGGCACTATGATGAAGACTACGATTGTGGACTTTGGTACTCAATCTGCCGCTGCGTCTCTTGTAAAAGGCGAGTTTTTTACAGGCTAATATTCCTGTCAGACTGTTACTTATCAGCCTTGTGTTTCAGTAGCATAGTAATTAGCAGCCTCGCTTTGCCTCTATGAAGAGAGACGCCTGTAAACACCAGCATTCAAGAAATGGAGTCGCAGACCTCTGCTTAATAATATACCCAGATATGTAAAAAGATTCTGTATCATCATAGATGAAACTTAGAGATGAAGCATCTGGTGCACATTATTAATTTCCTTTTGGGATTAATAAAATATTTTTGAATTTGAATATGTATGAAATTTACACTCGTGCCTCTCAATGGTTGCAGTAATACCACTGTTATAATATTATTTAATTTAGAGTAAACTTAGCAAATTTAGGTTTGTTCCAATGAAGATCGACTCACCTGAATATGACTACTGCTTAAAGTTGCTCCTATCACAGGATAGTTCAACTTGTTTTCTGATTTATTCAGGCATCTTAAAAGTCACAGATTGTGTGCAGAACTTGAACTTTCATCCCAATATGGTTTTACATTTATTATATATAGAAAACGAAAATCATAGAGTCCTTTTGCAGTAACTTTTAAACCTTTCATCCCAATGAATATGCACTATAAAAAAACTGTCAAATTTCCAGCATTGACATGAGATTCATTTAATTTTCTTCACATTTAGACCCAAATAAATAATTAGTCTTTACTGTTTGTCACTCTGCAATGAGATTAAAGCCATACACATCCACATGTTTTTATATTCAGAAAGATATGTGACAAGAAACTACTGTATATAACACCATGTGGAACATAACCACTATTTTCAGTGTTTTATTTCTGCTTTATCTGCTTTCATTTTTTAAATGTGAAATGCCAGCTAATGAAACCATTGACTGCCAAAAGGATATTTATGTTCCTTTTTTTTGTCATTTTGCTTTTTTGTTCCTGAAATACATTTCAGCACTTGTCACAGCATATGTTAAAGCAGCCTTACAGTCTGCTTCAAAAGACAAGTGGTTGGCCGTGCTGATTGCCTCTTGTCTGCCTCACGAACCAGCAGCCAGGAGAGCAGTGATAATGGAAGGTGTGGGCACTGTGCATGCACTCCTGCTTCCATTAACTGTGTGGGTTCAATACCAGCTGGTTTTAAAATGTGCTGCAAGACTCAAAAAGGGTTTAGATTGATTTATTATTTAATACCTAATATATATTTTGCAATTTCAAAGTAATTGTTGTCCCTCTTGAGTGATGGCTCCCACAAAAGCTTCCACTTTGAACGCAAAATTTTTGCACCTGACCTTCATGAGGATGAGAAATGGCTTTGGCAGTTAGCAAAATTTTTCAGACTTCTTGAAATGAGTGGCAAAGCATCTGAAACAATCCTAAGCTGCACATTTTTCTGACCTTACTGGACCAGCTGGTGACACAAAATAAACATGTGCACAGTTTGTGTACAACTACACAACAGTTTTATCTAATGAAATTAGATTAATGTGTTTCTATATACATCTTGTTTTCTGCAGATAGTGACAGCGAAATCTCCAGTGGGACTGGAGATGTCTCCAAGGACTGTCCGGAGAAAATACTGGAGTCATGGGGAGCAATCCTCACTAGATGGTAGGGCAACTAATGAGAAAAAATCTGAACACAGTGATGTCAGAAACATTAAAATAGATTGACATGGGAACATGTTTCTTGAATCTTGACAGCTGAAGTGAAGAGTAAGGTTAGAGAGCAGTTATGTTTGAAAAACTTGGTAGCAGTATTATAATTGGGTTCTTGTTGAGATCACTTTAGCCTTTACAGACTATTCAATAAATTTAAATATTTAATCAATTTATTTTAGGAACTTCATCACTAAGTGAAACACAGTATGTTAATTACACACAGACGGACCTTGGAAACCTTTATTTCTGTTAATTATGGTAAGTGACTGAATGTTTGCTTTGACTGGAAACGCAAACATTCAGTCTTTTTACAATCAGTTAATTGGCTATGTTTTCTTGGTCATATACAGAAATGTTGCTGTTTTAGCAGTGCTAACTGCTCTATTAGCTAATATAAGATACTAAAGCAGATTTTTATTAAACCTGATGTTTGACAGTATAATGATTTTAACACCATTTCATTTTAAATTGCAGTGGCACAGTGCCTGGGGGGCAGCAGTTAACTTTTCATGTCAAATGTCCCCGTCAGAACTGCATATCACTGAATTAGTCTGATGTAACAAACTGTTCGTTCCAATGCATTTTCCTTCAGTAGGCAACTTTGCTTCATACAAAACTAAAACCTTAAAATACATGTTTGCTTCCCCACTAAATTTGCATTTTGCTCTTGTAAAAAGAATGAATAGGACTGGACTCTATTAAATAATGGCTAACTGTATATATGTTGTACTGTATATGTTCTCTATGCTACTAGGACATTTGGTAATCTTTTAATTCTGGAATAAAAAGATATTTTCGATTGACAGCAATATGTTCCGGTGAAATTATAAAGAAACTAATATTAGGTTGTTGAATTGGATCCCCCAGTCAGCTGCATAAACTACAACTAGGATCTACTTAAACAATAAATACTGTGTAAAGTAAGATATGGGGTAGAATCAAATACGTTTCTATGTCTGCCTACCACCTTTTCAAACAAATGGTTGCATTAGTCTGTGTTAATTATTAGTTGTTTGAATGTGAACATGTTTGAAATAATCAACATAAACCAAATTAAACCCAAGCAGAAATACATTAACACATTGTGTTTATCAGAAACCATACAGTAATTGGAACATTCACCAATATTATTGCATAATGTTTGTTTTCTTAATGTCATGCAGCCCTGATCCTCTGCATCAGGCACGGTGTGTCATTTCCTTTGCAGCCAGCTTTCTGCTAATGGTTGTGTAGCAAATTTAAATCTTGTGCAGATCTACTAATAGTTAGCTAGATAATATTTGACTTCCCTTTGGTCTTTCTCATGGTGTTGAAGAGATGTGAATGGAAATAACTGGTTATGGACAAGTGGGCTTTATAGGAGCAGGAACATCTTAGATAGTTTAACCTGCATCTCACATGATCGTGAAAATGTTGGCTTGTTTGTAAGGGATCAAATCAATTGCATATCAAATCAATTACATTCAGACCAAATCTTAATTTCTACAGTACCAGAAAATTGGCAACTTTCAATTTCTTACTAAATGTCCAAACATACAGTATCAGCAGAAGGAGCAGAAAAAAATATATATTTCTGGAATTTCAACACAATCATATGAACCATTGGTCTATTGCTTTTCAGATGCCTTTCATAAATGTATCATGATCATTAAAAGCATCATTACACTGAGGAGAGTCTGTCTTTTTCTGGATGTAATGGGTCTGGATATAGTAACAGTCACAGTGAAATTTACAGAGGTAACTATACGTAAAAACAACCAATTAAGCAACTACTTAAATTATGATTGTGCTTCAGAAAAAAAGCTTAGGGCATTTCAATGAGTCATTCAATGAGTCATCTTAAATTGTAAACCACAAATTGTTGACAAAGAATTGCTGGAGCGGATTTTGCAGCTGAAATTGAATGGCGTTTTAAATTTTTTTTTTTCAAAAGGCATGGGAACCTGTCCACTCGTCCGAAGGGTTTGCCCTCGTTGGTCCGCAGTGGCATTCCCGAGCCACTCAGAGCCGAAGTCTGGCAGCTGCTGGCCGGTTGCCACGACAACCATGACCTGCTTGAACAGTACCGCATCCTCATCACCAAGGTAATGCACAGACACCTAGACCTGGAGAGACGGCTCCTTTCAGGAATTTGGTTTTGTGATAGAAAACCTTTTACGAAGCTCATCCAGCACAGGCTGACAACTGATTGTATCATTTCGTTCAGTTTCAAATGTAGAACATTTTTAGTCACCTACTTATCTATGGTGGTGCACATTCTATTTTCTCAATGTTTCACTAACAATTTTCTTGAAAAATACTCCTGTTGTTCAGGTTCCTTTTCGTAAGATATCAGAAATATGAAAACATATTAGGCAACTTTTTGTAGTGCAAACAAACAGCTGCAGCATCAGTGGAGTGTAATTCTTTTGCTTGTTTGTTTTTCAAATCCCAGCAATTTATTAAACATGAGTTCATCAGAAACCGTTTAAATAGCTCCGTTTGTGAGCACAAACACAGAATCTGAATTTCACATGTCCAAAGTGTACAGTCACATGCTTTTATTTCTAGTCAGTCTTGGAAGTTTTTGTTGTGTTTTCATGGAGAGCTGCTGACTTGAGTTATTGAGAGAGTACAAAGTGTTTTCTATTTGTGTTCTCCAGCACTTGCAGCATCAGTGACACTGTTGTTCGTTAGAGCCGTTCCTCTGAACTTTGTGGCAAGTCAGAGATCACTTCAATTTAGCTGTGACATTTAAGTGCATGCACTGCTGTTACAGCTCAAAGTGACCTTTTGCCCCCCAGAGAGCTTCCAGGAATTCAAAATGAATTGTTAGACCTTTTATATTTAGCACAGTTTTAGCTGTGTCCCCACACTTATAAACCTATCTTTCACGAGTATGTTTGAGTTTATTGTGGTCAAGATGGCCCACACCTTACACAAATGCTGTGTCATTTCACTAGACAGTGGTGAACTACTTCAGAAAGTTTGAAGTTGAGCACTTATGTGGAGTGGAAACAGTCAAAGCTTTATCTAGTTTCTGACATTAAGGTTTAATTCCTCAAGATTTTCTCACAAACAAGTTTTACCTTCCTAAAACAGCCAATTCATTTAGAGATTTTTCATTTTTACAAGGTCGTGCAGACTTCACACAAGTGCCTGGATGCAGACTTTAAAATGTGAAATAAAGAAACACTCTAAAATAAATGTGAGTTTCAACAATAGTTAAACAGTGTTAATTTTAATAGCTCTGTTTCCTCATTGTTTGGTAGAGAAAGGCTCAGGACGCCATACGAAGAAAATTACTGTAGTTATGGAAAATGTGTTGAAAATAAAGAAAGTGTGTTTACTGGGTATTGTTAAACTCTGAGACACTTAATTTGTGCCATTCTAAGGTTGTCCAGAAGTACCTTTTAGATAATACATTTAATCAAAGTTAAGGTAGAAGTTTCAGATTAATGTCCAGATGCAATGACCAGCTCTGTGGTTGAAATATGCTGCTTGACTAACTGGAGACCCTCCTCAGCTTTATAGACGATCAGATACTATTTCGCACAAAGCTGGGTGAAGCTATTTTCTTTGATCAATAGGCAGATAGAGAGAGAGCTGAGACATGAGAGCAGATCCAGAAATATGAGGCTGTTGTGATTGAAAGGAAAAGTAAAGAATAATATCAATAATCCTTTACTTTACTATGCTTATCATCTGAGAGAGTGTTGTTTTTCTCTGCTGTCCCTCTTTCTATTTCTCATACCTTTACATGTTGCTCTGGGACAACTTACTTTTTTTTTTTTATCGTGATCTCTTTAAGTCTGTTCTAATTCTCTCGTATTTTCCTCGTAGTTCCATCATTTGGTTGTGGCTGGCAGTTCTTCCTCTGCATCTTATCGGAGCCCTGATTCATTGTTGCTCTGCCTAACTCCGCTCTCCCCAGCTGCTTTCTTTACCTCCCTCACTCTTCTTACATAACAACAAACCTCTGTTGTGGAGTGCATTCTTTCTCTTTCCTCTGTCTCTGCCGCACCCACATCCTCTGTCTTGCAAGAGTAGTGATGGTATTGATAGGCGGTAGGCTGAGCTATTATTAGCCGCACCAAATGAATGGAAGTGAAGGTAGATGGAGAAGGGAGAGTGAGGGGAAAGAGACAAATGGCAAAAGCTATGTGGAGCTGGCTAATGTCTGTGCTTAGAGATGACTTTAATGCTGACTGAACTCAAATGGGATTGTTAAACTTATTTGGAGAAAGCTAAGCTACATAGATAGTGTTTTCTATCAAACATTGTGCTTGGAACAGAAAATGAGGTCTTTTATTCATCAAGGAATTTGAAGGTGACTCATTATGTTTCCTTGGACAAGTTAGGTTGGGATAGGTTTATGACCTGCACAAGACATGTTCATTACATTTTTTGTGCAAAATCATTCTTGAATATTCAAATTTTTGTCAGCAAATTTCTGCCTATTGAGCTTCACTTATAATGAGCTGTTTTTGGATATCTAGTCACTTTAAATCCAAGGAAGCTGCTGCTGATGATGCTCCCGAGCTCAACATTTACACTGGCACTGCAAACAGAGGCCCAGTTATACAGCTGTACATCTTTGAAAAGCATTAGTATAGCCTCCTACACAATCAACAAGAATGCACCAAGTAGTTTCTGGATGGTAAGTCAACAACAACTTGTCTTTTCCAGCAGGAATTGTACAGCACATACAGCGGTAAAACCAGCTGACCAGCCATGCTGGAGCTCCGATTGGGTTGCTAGGTAACGGCGCTCTGCCTGTCAATTGTGACTTAACAATCAGGATTTTTATTGAAACGCCTAATTTTTCAGACACCAAAAAAACATAAACTTTTTGCCAAAAACATTGAGATATTTTTTAAAGCACTTGGTCTGTTTTTAAAAGCATTTGAGACCCAAGTGGAAGTATAACATTATACCTCTTTAATGTGCATAGTCACGTTAAAGAGGTTTTAACAATATGTGCATCACATCCAGTTTGCTTGACATCACCATCACTGCTGTCATGCTTACTATTGGACTGGACTCTTTTTACTCACAGCAACAAATACTGTCCATGTCACACATAACTTTGCCTCAGGGCAGCTCAGATTTTTCTCTGGATGTGCAGCTCTGTTTGGAGAAAGAGTTAGAGGGGTTGCTGTTGACATTTGAACAACCTACGTATCCCAGGAGCTGAACAAGCTCAAGGTGTGCAGCCACGCTTAAACCCCCGGCTTAAAAAAGCACAGCCAGCTATTTCTAGCCCTGATTTTCCAAAAACCAATCTTGCTTAAAGCATAGGCGTTCTGCTAAGTGAGGGTCAAGAACCCTCCTCCTCACGTTTGATGGCTGTAACCAGAGGCCCGGAACAGCAGTTCCCACCGCCGCAGGCGGTATGGGGCTGAAGGTCTTTCAAGGAGAGCGTTTCGTCAAGGAAATTGATTTTTCTTTTTCCTTTTAACTTCAGTTTCAATCATTCAGCCATTTGCCTTAGCTGGGAAAATATTGGCACTGATGAGCAGAATATATGAGCTTTTGTACAAATCTTTGGTAATAAAGATAACAAAAATCACAACTTTGAAAGCCTTTAATCTCAGACTATTAATACAGGTGTGTCCTAATAAATGAGAATATCAAAATATCATCATAAAAGTGAAACTCATGTATATATTAACAAATAGATTTGTACTTCAGACTTCTATTTATTAACTTTAAAAATGTTTTATAGCTACAAAATTTTCTTTTCGGAAAATGTAAAATATTACGCACACAAAAAAAAAGTTTTATAAAAATTCAAGCATTCAGAAAACTCCTGATGACATTTCTACAGCAAAAAGCGAGAAGCTGGCTAATCAGAGTGCAACTTCTAGGAATACGATATGAAAATTAAGTGGAAGGAAAATGTGTGGCTGGAACAAGAATAACTGCAACATTGTGATGTGTGTCATTGGACATCTTACTTTATTTTGGCAGAGTAAATAATGGCAGTCATCAAAATTCGATTAGATATGATTACATTTCTTTGTTGTTGATGAGTTCTGTTTAATCTTTGTTTAAAACCTATAATTAAGCTTTTTAGCTGGTATGATTTTATGCCATCAAAACTGTGTTACAATACTCTTACAGCAGTGCAGGTTGTCTGTGATGTCCCACTGGAAAGAAGTACTTCATCAACTTTACTGTTTGGACAGTCAGATTATTACTACTATAAAAACATTATTCTCACTGGTGTAAGGCTCAGGGATTTCCCACAAACTGCATGTCACCAAATGGAAAGGGATTGCCACTTTTACAATGTAAATAAAGCCGTCGTGTTTAAAGAGCTGCACAATCACAATACTAAAGTAGACCATGTAATGCAGATAAAAAGCTCCGTTTTACGGCGCTGATTTCATTGAAGTATCCGGTGACATTAGATGCTTAATATTCTGCATAATATTTATGTTTCGGCCACTCGCCAACTTGGTGACAGTCTTCATTGTTGTCATTCACTCAAACATAGCAACAGCCGTGTTGCCCAGCTGTAATAATACTACGCCCCCGCCTGATAACCCACACGCACACATGGAGTACAATGTACATAAGATGAGCTGCCATGGTAACTGCAAGGTTCTCCGGGCTTTTCTTGTCTTGACGTTGTCACCATGACAATTCTGTCTCTGCTTTCGCCTTTGTGTCAACTTTCTCCTTCACTTGATTAAGTACTTGATATTTGGATAATTGGAAACTGTGTAGGTGGTGAGCTGCTCACAAATCCCATGTATTCTGGAAACCACTGCAGACATTTGAGTGTGGGGTTTGAAAGTGGATGTTTTCTGACGGCATTACGTCGGTTCGCTTCGTTGCAGATAAACCCGCAAAATAAAATCCTGTTGCTTGGAATTGCTTCACCACACACTAACAACTATTACAAACATGTTTAGTCATTCCTTCATATTCATAAATATATGAACAAATTTTGACAAATGACTTAATTTAAACGGAATCAATAGAACAGGAGCTGCATTCTGACCATTGTGCTTGGAGTGTTCAAGCTTAGACGCCAAATAATTTTAAGTGTTTTTTTTCTGCTTTTGTTTTTATTTGAAATTGTCTGATTAATAAG